AAAAAAGAGGAGACTTTCTTTCACTGAAATACAGTGAAATACACCCAGAACAGCACAGAATGAATGAAATACACTCAGCAGCACAGAAGCCACGCCAGCATCAAGGGGGATGCTCCTGAGCATCAACCAGATCTTTCAGATTCCTGTTAAATACATTAAAAAAATTGATTTTTCAGCAATATCAGTTGCCACAGATTTGTCTGCTGTCTGTTATTGAGTCCTCACTTTGGCTGTTCCAGGTATCAGGAGGGTGAATTTGTGTTCACCTGCAGAACCTTCCCCATAGGTAGACAGAGTAGAATAAATCCTGGAATAGAGTATTGGTGATGGGGAGAGGGGAGAGAGTAACAAAAGAGCCAAGGCATTTTCCTTGGCAAACAAAACCCATTTGCTAAATTCCTATAAAATGAATACATATAGATTCCAGACTTTAGGCACAAGTGTAGTTTTCCCCCAAAAACAACAAAACAAGGTATTATTTGGTTAGTGTGAGCCTGGATATTGATAAGATTACCAATATTCTGGTGATCTTTAATGAAGAGGAGTAGAAACTCTGTGCTGGGAGGTTTTGTGCTGCTAACAGGGTGAGTAAAGCCTGTGAGAGATGCTGACAATATACAGGGTGATAGTTTGGTCCAGGAGAGGATCTCATGGAATCAATGAGGAATTAAATTCAGGATGTTTGCAGGTCAGCTTCATCCTTTGCTCTCATATCTACAGGGCTGATGATCCATGGTGTCCAAAAATCCCAGTGAAAGCCAAGGGCAGCTCAACCTTGGTGTGAAACCAAAAAGAAAAACCCCCACATGTCACAGCCTAGAGAGGGCTGTGAGGCACAATTCAATCAGATTCCCAGCAAATCAACAGTGTCAAGTGAAAAAAGAATCAAACAAAACACCCAAATCAAACAAAAGAAACTTTGCTGATTGCAGCCAAGGCTTTTGAAGATTACATCAAGTCAAACTTTTATTAGCAAAGTTGTATTTCATGTAAAATGAAAATATCTTTTCAAACCGTACGTGCACATCTGCGTGGTACAAACAGCAACTACAGTACAACACGTTTCTCTAAACTTTAATCAATGCACACTAACATTTAGCTCCCAAAAAAGTAACATTGTGATGGTGACACCACATTTGCTTTGATCTTTTTCTCATGAAATTACAAAGTCTCTTGTTTAAAGTCAGAACCATAATAATAAAAAATGAACAGACAGAATGCTTTGGCTCAAACCCCCCGAGGGGCTCCTGCCTGAAAACAGAACAAATCAGTGCAGATCACTTGAGATTTGACATGAGAGATCCAGAGCTGCAATGTAAACATGTCCTGCTACTCCAGCGTGGTTTGTACCTTGATTTTTTGTCATAAATACTGACAGAGATGCAGCTGAGGGTGTGATCCATTGGCAAACAAAGGGAATTCTCCATGAAGAATTTCCTTTCTCTCTATCTGTTCTTACAGGTAAGCAAAATAACCTAAATACACTTCTCATCTGCTAAATAATGGCTGTGAAAAATGATGCTGAGGTTTCCTCTCAAAAGCTCAAGGAGCAGTGAATGTTATTCTAACTTTTCTTTACAAAATGTGGAGTCACTGTTTAAAAACCCCACCTTTTTTTTTAAATATATATATGTATAGAAAGATGGTGCTACTATTTGCTTTCATGTCAGAAATAATATTGGCCTGAAAACTTTGATGAAAACCTCTTGTGCACTGGATTGAAGCATTCAGCCAATGGAAGCAGTTAACAGGAAAAGAGCTACTCACTGGAATTTGTGCAACATCAACACAGCAGAAAAAATATCCATCATTAAAAAAAATCATTAAATCATTTGCTAATTAGATCCATTTAGGATGAGAGTTACAACAAAGGTTTTAAAATTTCTTTATACATGGGCTCACAATTTTATCCAGAGGGGGAAAGTAATTTCTTGATTTGATTCCTAATTCTGCTCTTCAGATCCAGCCCCAGCAGGGCTTTGATGCCCAGTGCTGTACATTTATCCTGCTGGAGTGCAGAGCCACGAGGGTTTCTGGAGATTGGATCCCCTCATTTTGACAGAGGGAAGCTGGGGCTGTTCCTGCAGGTTCTTGATAATGTCATCAAATTTATATATATATATAATGTCTCTCTGTGTGTGTGTATATGTATATATATACATAAAATTAGAGAAAAATTATCAATATTTTGCTGCTCTGGGAATCCAAACAGCTCCCCTGGGAGAAAAGACATCCTGGTTTGACTAGGATATCAAATGTGAAAGTGCCATTTCCCTTCTCACATTTGTTCTGAGGCAAAATGTGTCAGAACCAAATGCACCCAACCACAGCCTGGGATGGGATAATTAAGAATTCCCTGTTCTGCTCCCATGGCTGGACTCCCTCCTCCCAGCAGGCAGGCTGGAATTCCCTGTTAGGTGTTAATTAATGAAACCACCATGGGTTTCCAGCAGCTAATTTCAATAAACACCCCTGGCCTGAGAAAGAAAAAAAAAAAATTCAACAAAGTCCAAATAAGCCAAGGTAAAGATTCAATGCTCGGTGCACTATTTCAGAACAGGGTGTGATTTTGGGGGCTGTCCTGGTCAGGGGCAGAAGTTGGACTTTGATGAACTTGTGGATCCCTTCCAAGTCAGGAAGTTCCATGAACTGCAGAGCAGTTGGTGACACTTTCACTGAGCTACATGGTCACACTTCCTCTCACCTGGCACAGACCAAGACAGAAACACAGCCCAGCTCCCTGCAATGACAAAAAACTCCTCAGGAAAACCTCAGCTTGCTCTGCTAATTTACTTTTGGGAAAAATCTCTAAAAAACCATCACCAACCTGCACTTTCCAGGGTACCTTTACAGCAGAAAAAATCCCAGTGAAGGGAAAAAAAGGAAAATAAATGACTGGGGAAGAGAAAACAGCTCAGGTGAATGAGATGTCCTGGGAGTTTGAGCCACTTGTTTAATATTCACTGGGCATATTCCTCAAAACCCGTGTTCAAAAATCCAGATTCCATTGCACATCTTTTCCTCCCTGTTTGATTTTTAGATCCTGAGGCATCATGGCATACCAACATTAACATTTAAGGCTGTGAATTAAAATCTGAGTGGAAAAAGCAGCAGCACCAGCACAGCACAAACACCTCTTAGCAGCAACAGAGCAGGAGCTGCACGGGGGATTTATATCCATTATTGGAGCATTTGACACTCACTAATATGGTCTGAAACTGAGCAGAGAAATTGTTTAACATTGTTTAACAGAAGCATTTTCTGGGATGAGGGGTCTGGTTTATCTGCAGTGACCCACAAGAAAATGTGATGGGTGTGTGCAGGCACAGCCCAAAGTGAGGATCTGGGGGAAGCTCACCCCAATTTAATTCCCTAATTTTCAAAGACCTTTGAGCACTGCAGATGACTTCCAAATGAAATACATGAAAACCAGCCCAAAGCAAGCAGCAGGTTGTCAAAAGCCTAATCAGTTCTTAGATTTTATCAGGTTTGGGCTGCAGCAGACACGAGTCAGCAGATAAAGATGCTGCTGGGAAATGTCTGTGTTCATGAGATGCCAATTTTCACATTTCTCTAATTGTGCATTCCCTTCTTTGGAAAACTACTTTTCCCCCCACAGAATTAAAAGGCTTTTGGACCTTTTTGGTGTTTGGATTGAGTGAAGTACAGAAAACAGAACTTTATAAATAATTGTAAGTGAATAATTTGGGTCACGGATATGGGATGGGATAATTTTTGACTGAGGACAGATTTCCACTCAGCATTTTATACTCATAGGCACAGCCTGAATGGGGCTTTTGGGGTGGCTGTTTGGGGTTTGCTTTTCCCAAACAAAGGTTACACAAAAAGCCCTTAAAAGCTCCAATTAAAACCCCAAAAAGAGGCATAGATAAGCAGAAGCTTGAGCACCAAAGGCTTCCAGAAACTGCCAAGCTCTGAGGAGCAGCCCCAGCCTGGGGGGAGCTGTGTGGGATCCACAGCCCTTCCACTGGGAAAAATCTGCATTTCCCTGGGCTTAACTGTAGCCCTTGCTGGAAACTCAGAACCTTGGGAGTAATTCTTGCTTCCTCTCTTTCTTCCACTGAAATCATGGAGGAGCCATTTGGGGATATTTGCCTAATTGCTATCAGGATGCCAAACAGCTTTTAGGATCTATTCCTCCTGCAGGAACTACTGAAAAACTTTTATGATGGGAGTGACAGAAGAAATGAGGCCACGTTGATGCTCTACTCAAACAAGCAGATTCAAAAATACAAATGCTGTTAAAAAGAGATTCAGGAGATTCCAATACAAAAAGACCAAAAAAATGTGCTGTACAGCTCAGCTGAGTTAGTGTTGGAGAGGCAAAGAACCAGATTTAAACCAGCATTCAGTCAACAAAATAGGAAAACAAACTCTACCAGAATATTTGCTCTTTGCTTTTGTTTTTTTTTGTTTATTTAACAGTGAATAGGCTGAAAAGAAATGAACTCTTGAAATTCAGGTAGGTCTAGTTTAGGTGTTGCTTGAATGATGAGAAGTTTGGATGATTCCTATACACACAATTCCTTCTGCAAACTAATTTTGCTGGTCCAAATCCATATTGAGAAGCAAATCTACTCATTCCTACACAGCTATACAGACCCATGCTAGCAACATGTCTCAGTTCAAAATAAAACCAGGCTGCTCTGGACTTGTGTCAATATTAATATCATATGTACAACGTCTCCATGAAATGTTGGCTAGCTCACAAATATACAGATATGAGACAGACACCAAGGAGTTTGCTTAGAAATGCAGCTTGCAGCTGGGAAAAATTAAAAATATTTCGAGTGATGGTGGATGGGAACCCTGTTTTGCCTTGCCACAGGAAAGAGCTGCAGCTTAACTTATTTAAGGAAATAGTGCCAGCTACTGGGCAGCAGCTTCACCCACACTCTCCTGTGGGTAAAGCTGCATTTCTAAGTATTGGAATTGACGTCAGCTGTAACCACTAAAACAGTTTTTTTTCTTTTTTTTTTATATCATACACAAAGGGGTTTAATTCTTTAGGAAAAAATTATACAATATATAGAATATATTTCTCTGGTATTTTCAATTCTAATTTTCCTCATTGTGTCACTTTGCAGAGTAACCTGGTTTTGTTGGTGCCATAACCTCGAGGTTGTAACCAAGGTCATGAGGGAATTTTACACACACACACAGCCATACAGGGCGAGAATACTACACAGAGAAACATATTCCAAGCCTAAGAAACACCTGGAGCAGCAGGCAAGGACACAGATGTACCACCAGAGCAAACTCTGGTTTGCTCAGACTAACACATCGTGTAGAAAAAAGAATTACTCTGTTTTATTCAGAAGAAAACACATAGAAATAAGGATGGAAAAATCATCTTTTAGTGGCAGTGACTCGTTTTTGTTTTACCTGGATATCAGGATTTTTCCTGACTGGCTCAACTGGCACCCTGCTCCCCAGCACACGAGGTAACTGTGGGGAGCTAACCAGGATGAACACCACAATTAAACACCAATTTTAGGCGTGGAGAGGAAAAGTCGCCGTAGAACTCCCAGTGCTTTCCACTGATCCTTTTTCCTTAGATCCAGAATAAGCTCCAATAAATGAACCATCTTCATTGAACATGCCATGCTCCCCTTCTCCATAATCTACCAGACTATCAGCACTTCCAGTGGCTTTAATGTCCCCGTTAAGTGACTGGAGGCTGCCTTTCAGCGGCTTTTCATCGCTGTCACTACAAAATAAAGAGATGCCTTTCCAAAAATCTGCCTTGCACTGCTCGAGGGACACTGCTCGTGGCTTGGCAAGGGGACAGTGAGGGACACCTGGGTGGTGCAGTGAGGATGAGCTGACCCCGGAGTCCTGCCCTGCTCCTCGCACACCTGAGCTCCCCCATGTGGGATTTTGTCACGATTCCAACGAATTTATTGGTTAATGGGAATTATCAATACCCATCTATTTGGGGTTTTCCCCCCTTTTTGCCTTGGGCACACAGAATGGACAGAGAGGGAGGGGGAAGGAAAAGGGAATGCTGGAAAGGATTGGAGGGTTCTGTTCCAGCCACCAGGGCTGATGTCAAATATTTGGAACCTCACAATGAGACACCTCACAGTGTCTCATTGTAAAATGAGACACTTCTCTCAGGGCCTATTTATTTCATTTTCCTTTTGAGGTGCATGGATAAGGTGATATGACTTCAGTGACATCACATCTCACTGCTTTGGGAGCATCCCTTTGAGTTTAAATGACCAATAAAGGTGCTTTTTCCCTTTTTTTTCTGCTGTTATTTTATTTTGCCAGAGTTTATCTCACTGGAGTTTGCCCTTACTAACAGGGAGGAACTGGGAAAAACCAAAGCAGAATGAATGTCTGCAGCTGCAGCCTCTATTCAGTCAAAATTCCATGAAAAAGGGCAGGCTCACAACAAAAATTCTGGGAAAAAAAGGGGAATTTCGCTGGCCATTCCTCCCCACGGCACTACAGAAGAGGAACAAGAACACGACATTTGGGGGGATTGGGAAAATATTAAAAGATTATATTAAAAAAATTAAATTAGGCCTCTAGATTAGGGACATCATTACTCAAGTACAGCCCTTGCTGCTAATGCCAACTCAGTGTCAAATCTTTGGCAATTTTATCTAAGGAGGGACAGAGAAATGAACCTGAGCTTCATTTCCTCAGGATGGACTCAGTATGTGCATAAACAACACAGAAAAAAAATCACAACACAGAAAAAAAATCACTACTTTTCTGCACAGGGCATTTCTCCTCAGAAAAAAAGACAAGTTTGGATTTCAGGGGGAAAGGAGGGGGTCAAAGTTATTAACCTCAGGGCTTTCTTACCTTTCTAAATATTTGTCCCATTAGAAAGCATTAAAAATTAAATAAAGATGAAATTATGCAGAAAAAAAAAAGCCCTACTCCAGTACAAATAATGTAGTATATATAACTGGGATTTCAACAGCAATTTTATGCCCTTAAGGGCAGCAACACCAGTTTTCCAGCATGGTTCTTATAATTATGTATTTTACTTCATATCACAATTACATATTGCTAGAAGTTTTAGTTATTTTAAAGCAGCCAAAGTGGTTATTTCAATTCTCCTACAGGGATTTCTGTAGAGAGATGTTTGGTTTTTAAATATTTTTTACCATATTCCAAACTTTTCTTTGTTTTCTTCCCCAAAATTCCCCATATTACATTATTTGGGTCTGAGTTTCAAAAACCCACTGAAGACATAGAATTCAATGCATTGACTTCAGTGGGCTTTTCAGCAGCACCCCAAATTATCATATATATTTACATTATTCATACAATGCTAATAATGCTAATTAAAAAAAAAACCCAAAAAAGTGAAAAATAAGCACCAATATATCAGCATTTCCTTATATCCCAGCTTGGATGGATTGAAATATACTGGATATACCTTTATATTCCTACTCTTATCCACTCCTATGAGGTTTGCTTTGAAAATGAAAAACAGCATTAATTGCATGCCATAAAAATGTCCCGAATAATGATGGCATTTGGAAACAAACAAAACCCCAAGAAACACAAAGCCTTGTGAAAGCAGGTCCTATTTACCTATATTCCCCAAAGATTTCATCTTTTATTGATTGAGCTTCGGGATCTGGATGCAAATCTTCTTTTTCTTTCACTGTGCAAATAAAATAAAGGACAGATCTCTGTTTGTGTTCTGCCATGGATTTTCCTTTTCCCGGGGCAACGGGAAAACCATCTGCACTCACCTCCAGCCTGGCCTGGAGCTGGCTGGACACGACCTGTGAGCTTCCAAGAGTTTGGGACCATTCCCTAATTTATTATGAGCAAGTATTTATAGAATTTATGGAATGGTTTGGGTTGGAAGGAACCTTAAATCCCATCCAGTGCCAGCAGGGACACCTTCCACTGCTCCAGGGTGCTCCAAGCCCCATCCAACCTGGCACTGAAAGTGTTCAGAGATGGAGCATCCATCACCTCTTTGGGTAACCAGATTTCTACTTCAATACATTTACCTAAATCCTTATTCACTGCTTGGATACTGACAGAGGTAATTTTTGGCCATATATTCCACTGTTAAGCTGCCTGTGAAAGTTCTATCCATGTGTCCACCAGCAGTTCCCAGGTGGAAAGTAGGCAGGGAGTCCTGCCAGCAAGGACTTTGCTGGATTAAATGCTGGAATATTCCAGGAGTGCTAGGAAAGGCCTTTGCAGGCTCTGTGACCAGCACACGGCACAGCTCCACTTACATTCATTAAAATCCCTTCCGTGGATATTTATCAAAAGCTACAAACCCTAATTGGATGTTTGTGCTCGCGGCCTTGCGGCCCCCAGAGAGAAACCTCTGAAGGATGTTGGTCATTAACATGTGAACAGAGGGAGAGGACAATAAATCCATTTACCTGAATATTTGCCTCCTTTATTTCTTCTGACAAAGCAAATTGTCAGCAGCAGCAGGGTGAGCAAGGCAATGGCGCACATCAGCCCGATGAACCAGCCCTGGGTGGAAATCCCCTCGTAAATGCCAGCGTAGGCTTGGGGAGATGGGAGAGGAGCAAAAAGGCAGAGAATTAATCAGAGGGAAAGGGCAGCAACCCACGAAAACACGAACACATCACGTTCCTCTCTGGACCTTAATGGAATCAGTCTATGGCTACTGATGGTGCTCAGCTTCAACGCGAGGCAGGAATGTCCAGAGTGTGACATTTGGGACTGGAGGGAAGCGTGCGGATGACAAGGGACAACACAGACACTTGGCAGGGTGGCTCTGAGAGAGCAGTTGACTCACAGGATTAGCACCACACAGGAAAGCTGAGCACAGAGTTGTTAAGCCTCTCATGCAAAAGCAGTTTTGCGAAAGAGAGAGAGGTAAAAGCGCCCCCAGTACATGCGAATCACCAAACTGGCCACTTAAGGGTTTTGTCCCAGCTGCCCTCTCACATTGCACAGGTTTGTGAAGGTTTGGGGTTGTTCCAGGATGTTGTAAAGCACAGGGCTCAATCAAGAACCCGGGGTGTGTTTGTGCTGCCATGGGATTCAACTGCAAAGGGCCAACCTCAACCCCACAGCACGGAACGATGAGTTTGGGACACTCACACTGCACAGGGACCTCAGCATCGATTCACACGGAAAAACAAACGTTCAGCACCTCGAAGGGCTTCGTGTCTCACCTCTCCCCCTGGTCTCAATTACATCTTCAAAAATGCTATTGTTATCCACCCAGTTCTTAGTCACTAGGCGGATTGTGTACTCAGTGCCAGGCTCAAGGGCCTCGCTGGGCTGAAACTTTGGGGTGGGCTTTACTGCGTCTGAAATCCTGCCGCTGCCTTTACCTACGGAATGCACACATTCAAGGCATAGGGATTAATGGCATTCATGGACAGGAAGCCTAGGAAATGCACAGTTACAAAAAACAGACAAATAAAACACGTCATTGTAAACATTTGGCATCAGGCAATCTGATTTTCCAAAGCAAAAAAAAATACCCCCAAACATTCCCCTCTGTTTGATTTTTAATGTTCCATCAGATGAAATCAACGGCAGACCGGAGTAATCCTGATGTTCAGGAAGGGGTTTGTACATCTCCCAGGATGAAAGTTAATATTGATGGGGGATTATGGATCTGCTTGAACTAATGCCTGCTTAAAAAATTACAACTTGCAAACGGGCTTGCTTTGTATGGATAATCTGGGGTTTGATGCTTCTCCCATTGAACTGAACTCAGCAGGGAAGCACAGACAGCTTGTTAGCTGGATATAGATCCTTATACGTCTCCCAGAAAAAATTAACAGTGGGATTTCTTCTTGCTTCTCTCCTGACAGTGATTTTCTGTGTCCTTTTAAATTACACAATGCCTGCACAAAGCACTGGTTTAGAAGCAACTCAACAATTTGCCTGTAAATGAATATTTAGGCATTTAAGTGTTGATGAGTTTAGGAAAAGGTAAATTTCACTAGTTCTGGTCATGGAACCTTGTTATTTGCAAAACACTTCCTGTAACCCCATCTGCATTCAGATTGTGGGCATTAAATGAGATTTTTCAGAACAGCTTTTGTGGAAAGTAGGAAAAAGGACATTACAGCAGTTGACAATCACTGCCTGGACATGAACAGCCCACTCAGCAAGTTGAGAACTGTGTGTGACATGGAGGGATCTCCTACAACATGGAAGTGTCCCTGTCCTCGATAGCAGGAGAGAAATTTGGAGGGGCTGCACTTAATAAAAACAATTCTTGAATGGTTCTCAGTCGCCTGATTTGCCTGTTTTGTCCAAAGCCATCTAAACTAAGTCTTGAGCACAAAGTATAATCTGAAAACTACTCGGCCAATTAGCACTGACAGGGGAACAATGCTCATTAATACTTCAACTAGTAAATAAGCAAAGCAAGAAGCTGCTGGAGATTAAGGCTGAGTTGACAGCTGAAGGGAAAAAAAGAAAAAAAGATTAAGATAAATCCAAGCACAGTCAAAGCAGCAGTTCAGGATAAGTTTTTAAGGCAACTCTCCACGTATTACAATAAGCAGTTAAATGAGCAGACCACTGGGACCAGAGAGAACACATCCAGCTGAAACACTGCTGATACTGAAGCACAGCTCATTAGCATAAATTAATCCATCTACGGGTAATTTTTGCTAAATGAAGTATGTGAAATCCAGCTATAGTTTTTAATCAAACCGAAAATTAGGCAACAGGATACCACAGGTACATTTTAATTACAATCTCTAAAATCAAGGCATCAGAAAAATGGGAATATCATCCATAAAGCAACAGGAATGAGCACAAACCTTCAACCCAATGTCTGTTAAATACCACATGACACTTGTGCATGACATGGGAACTACATGACCCAAAGTGTTCACACCACCAGCCTCCTAAGGAAGAATTTCTCCTGAATTCCTGGCAAGCAAATCCTAAACCTTGAGCTCCTGCCAGGTGGTTTGTGGTGCATATTCTTAAACCAACATTACCAGTCCTTCTCTGCCCCCTATTTTTTCCCAGCTTGTGGCAGACTCTTTCTGAACCATCAACTCTTTAGAGAAGCAGAAAGAGTGAAGCGAGATGGCTGAAAAAAATCCCTTTTTCTCTCCACTCATTGCTCAGCTCTGTCTGATGCTGCAGCTGCCCTGGCACATGGAGCTGCTCAGGGCTGGGATGGACACCTTGGGATGAGGATGAGCCCAGCCTAACCTGGCACTGGGGATTTACCAACAGCTCTCCATTTACCATCTCCTATTCCAAAACACTTTTTTTCCTTTAAAACTCAGAGCAAGTGTCCAGTGCTGGGTGATTATGAGGTTTTTTCCCATGCCATTTTTTCCTGGTCTGTGTGACACAGCCAACAGGAGCCCTACAGAGCAGAAATATTTGCTAATGGGGGCGGGTTTGGTGGCTGGAATAGAAAAAGCAATGTGGCCTCCTGAAAAATAAAAGCAAAGATACACAGATAAGGCAAAGCTCCACATTCTGGAAGGCCAGGAACATCCTGAAAGCTGCAGGAATTAGCTGCAGAAAATTGAAAGCAGTTGGGTTGGGTTTTTAATCTCCAATAAGCGAGAAGGAGCATTAGTAATAAAGGCTTATCACCAGCACTTCTCATCTTCCCCCACTATTTATCAGCCACACCATGGGACTTGCATGAGCATTAAACACTGAACTGCAATTTTGCAATATTCCTACTGGGCTCCAAGATTTATGAGCAGAACAGAACACACATTTTTTATAGAAGCTTATGGTATAAAGGGAAAAACAATAGAAACCACCCCTGAAGATTTGCCAGAGTGTTCTCCAAAAGTTAGTACATCTTTTATAAAATACACTTACATAAAAAAACCAAACCTGGCAGTCTGAGAGCTAAATACTAATTGTGGGCAGCATCTTAATTTATAACCATACCTGTCTAAATACATCTGCTGCAATAAATGCAAAGCTGAACTTCCATTCATTTTCCCCTGCTGCCTGGCTGTTAAAAATGTATAAATATGCAGCACAAGTATCCTTCATTTTCAGGGCTTTTCAGTGCAGGTGGTAATTCATGATAAATTTGGATTATTTTACACTACAGAGATTAGCAAACCTGTTGTATGTAAAGTTTATTGAGAGAAATTTATAGGTGAGGTGATGATCAAGAAATTTGTACTGATTTAATTAGATTTTCTAGATTGCGAGCTAAAAAATAGGGTTGACTGCTAACAGCACCAGTGGTTACATATAGGGAAAGTATTTTATTATTCCTTTTCCACTGTGCCCATGGCAAAGGAGAGCTAAACCCACATATGCTGTTCCAAATGGTTACTCTGGTCCTGAAAGATAGGACCTCTCCCTAAGATTTTCCAAAAGCCTTTGGGAATTACGTGCCAACAGCCACTGGAATATAATGAAATTGGTGAACTTTTATTTCCTGGCTTCTCTGGAGAATAAACCTACAGCTGTGTGGCTTCATGTGGATGAATTTCTCATTAATGCTTGGATTTCTGGACACACAATGAAAATTCTCAACATGTAATATGTGTTTGGTAATCCCCGAGCAACACTGGTGACAAGATGAAAAGGAGCTTTGTGTTAAAGAAGGGCTGCTACATTAAATTAATCTTTTCACTTCTGGAAGAACATTATTTTGTGTTATGTTTCTGAAGGCTAATGATCTTGGGGAAATTGACATTTTCAAGGGAAAAATTAATTAGTTTGGAGGTCATTTAAGACATACTGCCTGAAAACATGAAGACAAAGATTACAGTCATTTTCTAAGGACTTCCTTCTGTGGAATGAAACCAAGATGAAACCACAGAAATTAAGCTGTTATTTATTTTACAGAACAATCCAAATCCCCTTTTGCTCTGGTTCAAGAATCATTTTATCAAGAAATGATAAAGATCTTAGGTTGCCTATAAGTGTTTAACTTCTGAGTTATTTTCCCTGTACAGATTTGTTTTCAGTGGTGCTACACAAATCCTCACATATATTAAATAAGGAAATTCCCTTTTCTTTCTAATTCCAGACAACAGCAGCAAATAAATTAAAACAACAGCAGTGATGGAGATAAGTAAAAAAATAAATGTGAATGACTCCAGAGCTGCCACCTCAACATCTCCACTTTCCTGGCAGATTGCATTGAGAAATTCTGAAATATCCATGGCAAAGGCTGAATTGCAGCACTGGAAGTTTCCAAAGCCTTAAAATGAACAAGGAGAGCTTTATGGGTTTATTATTAAACTGGAACAGAGTGGTTATAGAATCACTGAATCAACCCCCAAAGAAACGTGGAGTGCTCCATCACGGAGTTTCATTTCAGAGGGCACCACATTTTATATCTGTCATTTACGTGGGTCATTTGAAATGATAAACTTTGACTTCTGAAATCACTCCCCTCCTTCAAAAAGAGAGATTGTTTTAATTTTGAACAATTGCCTCGCTCCCCAAACCGCAGCTTAAAACCCCAAGGAGGTCACTGAAAAGAGTGATTTTTAGTATTTTTTTTCAGCCTATCATGTTTAGGTGAAAAATATCTGAACAATTTAGGCAGCAAATAATGACACAGAACTCTAATAGCATCTCAGTGACAGATGCAGTGTCCTAATTTAGGGTGGCTTGAGAAGCAGCAAGGAGCACACATAAATCATAGAACTGAACCCTTGCAGCTTTCATTAATTATACTGCTCTAGTCTAAGTGTATTTCACAAGAATCAGGTGTTGCCACCACTGAAACAGAGTTTAGGAAAGTAGAGCATGAGAGCAAAATGAATGTCAACATCTCTAAACCATGACAAGGTTATTTCAAGGAGTCAAAACACATTATTCTGGTTGCCCAATGAAGGCCAGAAAAGGCAGCTAATGGGGAAAATGGGGTATTTTTATCTTAGGAAAAAAAAAGAGATATTTTTCTTTTCTTAATGAGGAATAAATCATGGTGATTAATAGTTGTTACCAGGTATCCTACAGTGAGACTGGAGGCCACAAGATAGTTGAGAAGGAGTTTTACTACTTGGGAAACAAATGGCAGTTCCTGACTGGATCTGGAACTAGGACATGAAGGTTAAAAACACATTTTTCCTGTTTTACCAGTAACTGAAAAGAATTCTGCAACTTAGAAGTCCACCAGTGCATGGGCCATTTTTCTGTTTTCCATCAACATTGCTGCACATTGTTATCTTTGCTAAAAATTATGCAGTCAGGTCTCTTTTGCTTATCACATTCTCTTTCTCCTTCCCCAGGGTAAATGCACAGCAATGGTTTCTGATTAATAGCAAGGAGCTGCTCCTCAATACTGTGGAGTTCTCAGACTTGCTGAGCACAGTACATTTTATTTCATTTCAGCTGAAAGTGAAAGATGAGCTATCATAGAGTGCTTGGGATTTTCCTCTAAATCACTGAACATCAGTGTTTCAGCACAGGGTGTAAGTGGCACGCAAACACTTACTCCTGGTCTCTGATAAAATAATCATAAATAATGGAACAAATGTAGTCAACGTGATGTTTATCTGGATTTTCCATGTCAAACAGGTGATCCTAATGTTGCTGGCAGTCCCCCATCTTCATGCATGGGCAGAATTTGTTTTTACAGTATTACTGAGAACAGATTATCTCTATCTTCAATTTTCTGTTCGTGCCTGAATGCAATTCACTTATTCCAGCATGGCTTAAGGAGTTGATGGGTGGGAACAGAAACAGGACTGCACAGCAAAATGAAACAGATGAGCTCTGCTTCCCTGAAGAACACCATGGCCACATTAAAAAGCCCATTGACTGCTCTCATGGCAAGGAAAACAAACTTACTTCCCCTAATTACAAAGGAAATGTCAAGCCTGGATTATTCCCAATGGATTTTTCTGTTACCAAGCAGAGTAATGCACGGTCCCCAGGCAGGTGCAAAGGAGAGCTCTTTACTGCAAAAACCAGGCCTTTTAAAGCAGTTAGGCCATTATCAGCTGCATTCCATTTAAGCACAACAAATGCAATTCAACCAACCACCACAAACCACGACGTGAGCACATCATGGTTCTGTAACTTGTTTTCCTACCTCCAGTTCAGCTGAGTCACTTTCCCACACTCCTCTTCTACTTAGCCAAAGCAGCAGGCCCGAGCCATGATTTTACAAGGGTAACAAGGCCCTAATTCTTTAAGGTTCTACCCACACGCAACATTTTCCCGCTATTCTCAGAGCTCCTCCACACCGAAGCGGATTTTGTGAACTTACCGCCTTGGGCCAGCGTCAGCCCCTCCTCGGTGGCCGCCTTCCCGCAGCCCTTGGCCGTGCAGGCTTTGATGTAGAACTTGTACTTGGTGCTGGGGCTGAGCCCCGCCAGGCGCCAGCTCAGCGCCGAGCGGTTGGCGACGCTCACGTTGCTCACGGCGCCCACCTCGTGCGTCTCGTTGACTGCAAGGGAAGAGCACCTCGGTCAGAACTGCGTTTGCTGGGAAATGCCCCGACATTGCCACGGCAGGAATGATGCATCTGACTCCATGTTCTCAGAAGGCTAATTTATTACTTCGTGATACTATGTTATATTAAAGAATACTATACTAAACTGAAGAATGCAGAAAGGATACTTACAGAAGGCTAAAAAGATAATCATGAAAACTCGTGACTCTTTCCAGAGTCCCCACACAGCCTGGCCCCAGTTGGCCAGTGAGTCAAAAGAACTCACACCAGAATCCAATCAAACAATCCCCTGTGGGTAAACAATCTCCAAACACATTCCAAAGCAGCAAAACACAGGAGAAGCAAATGAGATATGAATTGTTTTCCTTTTCTCCAAGGCTTCACAGCTTCCCAAGAAAAAGTCCTGGATGAAGGAATTTTTTCTGAGAATGTGAATGCCACAAGTCAGAGTCACAGAAATGTGTCCTGAGCACCCCCAGGAGGGAGCACTCAGCAGGGAGAGGGGAGGAGGAAGGCTGGGTGAGTGCAGGTGCCCTTCCTGCCAGTGTAAAATGGGATTTATGTCCTCCATGCCCATCTCCCAATGGTTCAGTGAGCTACCACTGCTTTTGAAAAGCTCTCTGATTGCACATATGCACAGCCTGAGAGGGAGGTAAGAAGAACTGTCTCCCAGATCATTAAATATCTATGAATTGCTCCTTTTATCTGTGAAAATATCTATAGAAAGCTCCTGTGCTTTGCTTCCAAACATCTGCAAACTTTTACCGGCAGCTCAGAGGGTGGTTGGTGTGCTGTAAGCTGCTCTGGCTCCTCAGAGCTGGCAGCTGAAGGAGGGATTGAGAGGAAATTGAGAGAGGATTTTATAAACATACAGAAATATCTGAAGGGAGGTGTCAGAAGATGGACCAGGCTGTGCTTGGTGGTGCCCAGCAATGGGCAGGAACTGATGCACAGGAAGTTCCACCTGGACACAAGGAAGAACTTCTCCTGTGCAGTGACTGAGTATTGGAACAGAGACAGAGAAAGTGTGGAGTCTCCCTCACTAGGGATATTCCAGAGCCATCTGGACACACTCCTGTGCTGTGGGATGACCGAGATGACTCTGGTCCCTTCCAAACTGAACCACTCTGGCATTCTGTAAATAGATCCACTCTGCCCATAATCAGCAAAACCAAAGGGAAGATCCAGATGCAAAGGCATCTGAGCAGTTCTGCTATCAGCAGAGAGAAGTGTAAAGTACATGGGTGATTTTTTTTTATAAACAGGGCACAGACTCATCCTTTTCCACCTTCAAAGAATGTGTAAAATACACTGAATTATCACCACACCACACAAATGGTGTTGTGGCAGTCTGGGCTAAGTACTGGGTCTTGCCTGAGGTTGTTTCTCATTTCTTTCCTAGGCAAGAAAGAAAGAAATCCCCTGGTATTTGGTTGTTTTCTGTGTGATTACTCAACACCATTACTCAGGTGGTCCTTTGTGTTTCTGCTGAGGCACCTTAGGGGGGAGAAACTCCCTGACATAATGTGCAGATCCACATTAATGTGGCTTCATAGAGTGCTCTCATCACAATTCACTTTGTATTAAATGAGCTTCACTCCAGTAAAGTGCACCTACAATTTATGGGTCTTTTTAGCCACTACATTAGGGGTAATTTGCCAATATGAAATAATTGAATCAGCCCATAAATGTGGGACAGGGAATGGCAGTAATGGGAGCTTCCATGGGAAAAACTGCATGGAAAACTGCAGCCTGCCCTCTGACAGCCTCTGTGCACATCACACCTGGGAGTTTTTCCTAACTAATCCTGCTTCAATTCTGAACTCAAAGCAAACGAGGTACATACTTATCTGGTACTGCAGAATGTAGCCAGTGAGGTGGCCATTGGCTTTCTTGGGAAGTCCCCAGGACAGAGTGACTGAGTCCTTGTCAAAGTTCAGGATCCTGAGAAAACGTGGTTGTTCAGGGACTGGAAAACACAGGGATGAGCTTTCAGAGGAGAGTGAACAGGTCTGTCCCTACAAATTCTTGTTAAATGAGGATATAATGCAGCTCAACACCCACAGCTCCCCTTTTGAGTGAAGGGCTCTACAAATGGTGGAGTTTTTACTATCACCTTAAATAAGGGAATCAACTCACCTTGTCCCAAGGACAATTTCAATTTATGTCCCTCCATCCCCTATTTTCCTCTTGTCTTACCTCCTTCTGGAGTTTCAAACACCACAGGGGAGCTCTCAGGGCCATCTCCTCTGGAGTTGAAAGCCGAAACTGTCAAGCGGAATTCACTGAAGGGCTCCAGGCCAGGAATCATCCCATAGTTCCTGTCTCCTACAAATGTCAGGAAGTGTTTCTCTGGGTGATGCCTCTTTCCATCCAGCATGCTTCTTGTTTTCCACCAGCTGACCTGTGAGGAGATTGGGATTTCTCTAACAAATTATATTGTATGAGGATGAGCATGATCATGATCTCTCTCATCTTCCCAAAAATGAGAGATTGCAATCTGGGACTCATTTAATAATTTATTCAACTATATACAAATATTTATAGAGAGATTTGTAACCTTGTAGCCTCTTAAGTGCCCACGAACTCTGTCCCTTGGTATCCCAAACCAGAAGACTTTGACCAGGGTGCTGTTCACGACCTCCACTGACACACCCGAAGGAGCAGCATCTGGAACTGTAAAAACAAAAGTCCCAGGTGTTAAAAACACTTCCAAATCCCAGATTCACACTATTCACAGCTCCAGGGCTTGGCTTTCCAGCTCCAGCTGTGCCACTTCATGCAGTCTCACTGCAGGCAAGCAAAAAGCCATTCCACCTGCATCCAGTGGGTGGAATGGGCCAATAAACATTATTTTTCTGTATTTTTCTGCTGAGGGTTGAGATACATGTGCACTGGGACACATGAATTTCTACACCAGTATTTATGATTTCCTGTTTCAAGCAATGCTTACAGCAGTGAGAAGAATAAAAAAAATGATTAACATGGCACTCAAGAAGGCAATCATAAAGGTTTTTTTCATAATCAATTTCATTTTACAACTAAGCTCATTAAACAGTAGGATTTTAATCACTGCATAACACAGAGAGCTATTACAGTGCCTGAAAAAAGGAGGCCTTGATCCATTGACAACTGAATTGTGAGGAAGATTTTCCACTGGTAGATGCAAAATTAGACTCATTACAGAGAGACAAAGAAAATAAACATGCTGTAGAGTTTCTTTTTTCTTGTTCTCGCTATTCGCCACCTCTTCTGCACCACCAAAAGTTCCTGCTCCCACCGCTGGGTGGGCAGTGGGGATTCTCCTGTCTGACCACCACCGAGTCCATTTCCAGCACTGAAACTCCACCTGGGAGCCATGGAAACCCATGGCTGGAAAGGATGACACATTCTTTAGGGACTCATGGACAAGGTAACACCAGCACACGTGGGAATGTGGCATTGTCTGCAAATTCACTCAAACACTCCGTGCCTGCGAGTTCGTCCCTAATTGTCAGACTATTTAACTTCTGACAGCGTTAAAACTGTTGGGTCAAGCCTCAGAGAGCCTAAAGATTTTTTCCCTACCTAGTACAACCCGACTGCTACACTTCAGAGACTTCTCATGGACTGTGGCCTTCAAACAAGTACCAAGACTAAGCCAACAGCTGAGATTAATGAGAGAATAAGTGACCTTTCCAAAAAAACCCCTCACACTCCAGCAGGCTGGCATCCAGGCACCCAGCATGGGTCACATCCATGCCTCATGGAGCCCATCAGGCTGAGCACTGGCACTCCAGCAGCTTTGGGCTGCCCAATCCATCACTCCACACCCGAGCGTTCTGCAGCACAGAAGAAACTCCCGTTTTTACAGTCAAATTCCTGCCACTCACCGTCCTCTCCTGAATATCCAATGGTGATGTTTGGTTCTGGGCCAGATCCTAAATTATTGACGGCCTGGACTTTGATCTCGTAGGGCACGAAGGTGGGCACGTTCCGCACGCTCAGGGAGTGCTTCTTCACCAGCTCCTCGTTCCAGTCGGTCTCCACGCCCCGCTGCCTCCAGCTGACCTTGTACTCCAGCCCCGGCCCGTTCCTCTCCATGGGCTTCAGTGGCTGGGGAGAAGTTAAAAGAGATCTTGTCTGCCTTTGTTGTTATCACAAAACAGCAGCCCAAGGGGAGGGGGGATGGTTTTGTGTCGCTCTAGGACACGAAATAAAACAAGGCGCGCATGCTGGAACCTCCAAGGGAAAAAGAAGGGAAGTTTATTTTCTGACTCCAACATTTATAGATTTTCAAAAGTGACAGTGGATTGCAGGATGAAAATGCCACCTCTCCAATGACACTGGACAAGACAACAGTCCATCAAATTTCTCTTCCCCCAGAGAAGAATGTAAAAACAATAATTATTTACATAAAGTGCGTGAGAAAGTTCATTACAGGAATGTAAACATCAGAAGGCTTAGAAGAATTTAGACAAACAGGGATTGGAATGTGTGTTACAACACTGGGACAGAAAAGGGGCAAAAACCCCAAGCTTTGAGGTTTTGCTGTCATTTTAATTTAAGATTGATTAGAACAACAACAGCACGACTTCAAGAGAAAGGAGGGTGAAAGGCTTGGATTAAAATCCAGATTAATTGCTAGGAGCCATATTTCTGCCTCCTACACACATCACATTTTGTTTTGCCACAGGTTTTCCTGTGTGAGGTAAAACCACCTGCCTTCAGCACTACTGAATTGCACAGTTTGGCACAAGGCAGTGTGTGCCTTTTAGCAGAGATAAAATTTGCATTTTATCCTAGAATTTTATGTAGCACAGCAAGTTGGGTCATTAAAATTTAGATTTGTTCTAACTACACACCAAATGGTTGAAATTACGCCTGGACATTTAATGTGCAACTGCTGGGCCACTCTGCTTTTACCAATCAGCTGGAGAATTCATCCCAGCAGGGTTTCCAGCTAATTAACATGAATTTATAAAATATTAGGAGATGTATAGCAATAGCTCGTCATGAGACATCCTCAAGTTGAATTTATTTCTCTGAAAATGCACTACTTTAATTAAGAAAGTTAAATAATCACCTGACCTACCAAAAAAGCTACATACTGAAACAGCTGTGGGTGTTTCCCACCATATAGGCTGCCTTTAATAATATTTAAATATAGGCAAATATGATATATGTAATAGCTAGTTTGTATCCAAGAGGTCTGACAGGAAATAGCATCAAATACCAGTAGAAAGTTATTCCCCTTTGATGTTCCTCATGCATGGGGAGATCTGAATTTGGGGGATCTGCAAAAAATTCCCACTGATCTGCTCTGCTCTAAGGACCTTTGGGATGTCTGAGACAAAGGAATTGGGAGACTGGGCAGCTTTCTCACAGGCACCACCTCCACAACAAAGATCCCAGGGAATGGAATTTGCAAGAGAACCTGAAGAAGTAAAAAATTCCTCCTAAAAAACCAATTTCTTGTATAGAGTTAAATTGCAGCACTGCTTGACTTTTATTTTGATCTCCCTTAAAGCTGCAAATCCTTGCCTGAAAATCCCACTCACTAAAGCTCAGCTGGTCTCTTAATCCAAAATAGGCAGATTAACATCATTCTGCTGCCTTTGTCTGTCAGAAATAGCCTGTGCAGTGCCCAGCAGTTCCTCTGAAAAGCACACAGGAAATGCCATAAATAAATGAATATCCTGTTTAACAACATTTTAATGATTCAACAAGATTTAACCAAGCCTTTCCATCCCATTCTCTCCTTTCAGGCTCAGCTTTCACTTCCACTTTTGCCCTGTCTGAGCAGTGATTATGAAGTTCCTGGTGCTCAAAAATGTGTTGGCCATCCCAGTATTTCCCGGTAAACATACTGGGTAATAAAACTCTGCATCTGATGGATTCATTAAAGATCCTCCAAGATCAAATCCAACCTTTTCTGAGAGGCAGAATTGTCTCCCCTGACCCTAGGCTAAAAATCCCATTCAAATCCAAGCCCATGGACCTTGAGGGCCATCTCCTTTTGGATGCAATTCTACCCCAAACCATGACTTCCCACTGGGGAAACATTTGTTGTTCTTCTCTGGGAGCAGCAGATTGAGGAGTAAATCTCATGCAAATTGTGTGCAATTCCAGTCTCAACAAAAACCTGCTTCCTTCCACAGTTGTGGATATTTGTGCTAAATGAAGGAATACATAACTCAACTGCTGGCACAGAAGCTCAAGGCTTAAAAACCAGGAAATTTGAAGCCTGGAAACCATCCTCGAGACTTTTACATAATTCTTTTGATGCACATCACAGGCTTTGGAGGTTTATCCACATTCCTTTAGTTCTTGGTGTAAAAATTCAAACTCACATTCTCTTGGGTAAGAGATCTGTGGCGTTTTTAAACTTCCAGGCTGGAAGGGCAGAAGCCATGAGCCACCCAATCCCACCCTGGGCCTGGCTGGTAATTTTAATTGCAGAGCAGGGTAAGACCACAATTATTTGAAGCAGTTTCTTGCATAAAAGAAGCCGAGAAGAGCAAATTTTGGTGAATTCTCACTATGCTTTACAGGAATTCCATATTTTTTTAAATATCCTGTGAAGTCAGACATAAAATCCAGCCTTTTGAAGTAAAAATGATACTGGGGTTGAATATCCAGAATACATTTAAGTCAAATTCATCTTTCAGAAGAATAAAGGATCATTCCTATAGGATTTGCTAATCTTGCCTTACCTCCCATTTCATCACCATTTCATTGGGTTCGGAGGCTTCAACTCGGATGTTCTCTGGGTTTTTATCTGGAGCTGAAACCACACAGGTGACAAGGTTAGTTTGCACATCCCATTTATTTGCATTTAGCATTCAAATGCCAAAAAGGATGGGAAATTCCCCTATTAGTGACAGATATTTAAACAAAAAACGTTCATGAGATGAATGGCTTGGATCAGCAAAGCTGATGGGACCCAAGCACATTTGGATTCCTAAGTGTCCCTGTTGTTTGGAGCCATCAGCTAACATGGAACTGTGACTTTTGGATTTGAAAGCACCAGATGTGGGGGGATTATAAGGAAGAGATTTTTCTCCCTGTGGGGACAGCAAACAGAAGGTGCATCATTAGAGGTGCACACACAGCTAGAAATTTGAAGAGGGACCTGAAATTGGTGTAAATGGGGGAAAAAAAGAGAGAAAATGCCAAGGAATGCAAATGCTGCACTGAACAGTTGGCCTCTAAAATGAATTTCAGGGAGACAACATTTTCTGCCCCAGTGAATGCTCTGTAAATGGAGATTTTTGACAAGCTTAGTGCTCCTGAAAGGCTCCCTGTAAACCCAGCCCTTCTGCAGGAACTGCTTGTCCATGAAGGTCTGCAAAGGGTGGAAAATCAGCAGAGTGAGGTGCTGGAAGTGTAGGAAAACTCAGCAGTGTGGACTCCTCCCATTGGCATTCTCAGGAATTTTATGCAGCACAGCAAGTTCAGTCATTAAAATTTAGATTTGTCCTAAATGCACATCAAATGCTCAAAACAATGCCTGGACATGTGATGTGCAACTGCTGGGCTGCTCTTTTTTACCAATCACTGAAGAATTCATGCCAGCAGGGTTCCCATCTCATTAATATCTAAAATATCAGAATATGGCTTGTCACGAGACATCCTGCAGCTGATTTTACCTCTGAAAATGCACTACTTTAGTTAATTTAAATGGTCACCTGCCCTACCAAAATTACTGAGGGTTATTCCAGTCCACTAAACCAGCTGGGGGTAATTCCCACCACAGGATCTACTTTTATCTTAACTTTACTTTTTTTATCTTACTTTACTTTTATTTTACTTTTTTAGAATCCCTGAGGCTGCCACTGAGCAGTGCAAGCGACCCTGATTCCTTCACACCCTCTGGATCATGGGAGGGCACAGATATTTTTAAAAAAAGCACTGAAAATATGAATATTTAGGAAAGCAGAGCCAGGTTTACCAGCTGGAGGGGTCGCATAGCGCAGGGATGGTTTGCTGGGCTGGCTCCTGCCCACGGCGTTGACGGACACCACGCGGAACTGGTAATTCACATATGGGGACAGGGACAGCAGGGCTGTGGTGTCATTCCCTGGCACTCTGATCAGCTCCTGCCACACCTCTGGCTCCCAGTGGTTCTCTTCAAACTCTATAATTGACTCTGGGCAGGAAAAAGGACAAAAGAAAAAAGGAAAAAAGATAAAACATCCTACTTAGCGTGAACAGCGCGGGTGGAAATGAACTTGCAAGAAACGAACTATCATAGTTAAAAATCATTAAATCTGGCCACCTGTGACAACCAGGATGTGCCAGAATTCTGAACAGCCCTAAAAAGTTATGCTGGAAACCCCTTCCTACCATTAACAGGGCTGTTATGGCTGGCCCCAGCTTTCCAGGAGAGTCGAACGCTCCGGTTTTGGTTTTCTGAGAGCTGGAGGTCTTCTGGTGGGTCAGGAACATCTGAGAAATAAAGAAGTGTCAGGAGCACAGCAAGGTATTTCTGTTTGTCCTGGCATTTTCCAGAGGGTTGGAACAGCACAGTTAGGGAAGATGGTGTTGAAACACCTCCTGATTTCAAGATGGACAGGTGGTGGAAAGTGGGAATTGCTTTGAAATATCCTGAATCTTCTGGTGCTGATTTTTCCCTTATAAACACAAAATCCTTCTGGAATTCATCTCCCTCTACCTGCATTATCATGCTTGCAACAACAGATTTTTCTTTCCAAATCAACCCCAAGATCTGCTGAATCAATAATGGGTACTGACCCTGCCCTGGGCAGGTCCAGCATCACTTGGATTTACCCTGGGACAGATCAGAGTGGGAGAAGGTGCCTCAGCTCTGGCAGTGACTGACCTTGGCCTTTGAGTGTGAGGGAAAGGAGAACATTCATTATCCCAGCCATGGGATCTGCATTAATGGGGAACTGGGAAATTCACTACCTGCCAGCTCAAATAATGCTGTCCCAACAACAATTTTGACTGACAATGCCATTTTTTACAGAAAAAACAGTGACTTCCACCACCATGACTGTCTTTGTCATTGTGAAAAAAAATTCACTGCGTTCGTACTGATTTTTTAAAAATTACAATACTGAGTTTTTTATCTCAGGGTACATCAAGAAGTTAAAAAGTTTATGTTTGGATTTTTTTTTTTAGTTTTCTTTTTATTTCTTTCCCTATTTCTCTTGTAATATATCAATATCAATATGTAAAATATCAGGAAAGCACAGTTTAATCTGCAGGCATGCTGCTGCTCTATCCTCAGAGTACAGCTGGTTAAAATTCAATATATTAATTTAAAGATGGTCATGGTGCATCTTAAATATTCTCGCCCTTCTACCTGTTCATTATACACACAACAAATACTTAGAATTATTCTAATTGAATATTTATTTTACTCTCAGTTGCCCCTATTCTGATGTGTTTATTTAGTTCTTCAGTCAGCCCACCAGTCCTTGATTGCAAAATCCTGAATTTTTCACTTGGAAAGTAAGATGCTGTTAATTCACCAAGACCCTTCTCATATGCAATAAACAAGAGAAAACAGCACAAAAATGTTTTTCTTCTTCTGCAAAGCACCTTTTTAAAAAGGAATAAAATGCTTTATGAAATTTTCATAAGTGAAGTAACAAATAATCTACAAACATTTTGAATTACACAGCACCGAAGGACACAGCACCATAAATAATGTGCACAGCATCTTCCTAATTTACTATTTACTGAAAAATATCACTCCTTTAAAGTGGAAAAACATCTTGAAGGGCAGATTGACTTATTTCTTGCTGCAATCACTGCCAGCAATAAATAAAAATGCAAAATGAAGCAAAAATAAATGTAATTAAAATGATGTGAATCTGTCAGGGAATCATAAAATCACAGAATGGTTTGGGTTGGAAAGAACCTTAAAGATTATCTAATTCCAGCCCCCTGCCATGGGCACGGACACCTTCACCTAGACCAGGCTGGCCAAAATTGTGACCACAAAGCAGAATTTCGGCTGCTGCCCTTGGGTGCAATGGGTGCACAGCATTCCACAAGTTCATCCTCTTAATTCCAAGGGGTCCTTCAGGGAGGGATGCAGGTGGTGAGGATGCTCTCAGAAGGCCAAGCTTCAGACCCAGGGGTCCAGACTCTTCTTTTTGCCCCTGGACAATCATTCATGCTCAGTTCACAGATAGAATTAATTCCTTTTAGGTGCTTAACTCGCACTGATCTTCTGAGGAGCTGCACGTCCAAATATTGGCTTGATGACCTTCAAAAACCAGCCCAATTCTTGTGAAGGACTGGCCAAGGACTTCAAAGCAGCAGCAGAACCATTCTCAGTATGCTCTCACACCTCCCAGCCTGGGCAACTCCTGCAGCCACTGAGCTGAGGCAAAAATGCTGCCTCACCTTGCTACACCAAAAATGAAAACAAATCGAGTTTGTGCCAGCATCCAGAGATAAGGGACAGCACAGCTGAGCTTAAGGAGTGAGAGGCTCTGTGAAATTGGGTTATTGAGGCTCTGTGAAAAGAAGCAAAGAAGTGCTGCAGCAGCAATTCCTGCTGCAAGGAGTTGTGCAGGAAAATCGACCTTACCCAGAACGATAAGCTGCGCCTCGGCCTCGGCGGTGTCCAGGGCAGTGCTGGCCACACACCTGTAAACTCCCTGATCCTCCAGGAGAACACTGGATATGAACAGGGTATCCCTGTCCAGAATTATCCTGCAGGGCAAAGAAAAAAAGTGGCAATAAGGACGAGAATAATATGCGAGTATGACACACAGACGTTGTTCCCTGAAAAACTGTTCACAATAGAACTTGGCATGGGGCACTTTCATTAAATAGCTGCACATTGGGCCTGCTACATTAAAATGTAATTGTGGCTCTGCTCTACACTGTGCTGAGGAGTATTATTTGTATTTTGTGTCAATTTAGCCTCCGTGGCTGGAGGTTGGCCTGTCAATCCTGCTCTGAAAAGAAGCACATTGAGAAGCGCTGGATGAGCGTCAGGGCCATAGGATTTTGGCACGTCATTAATGAGACAAATATATGGGGTTTATCATGGAATTTTTGCAAGATTGAGGGAAACTGAGCATTCCCAAGGCACTTGTGTCATGTCCAAAGCACCAGGGAAGCTGCCAAGAATCCAAGGCCATGGGCTTCGTGGCAGACATGGAGTTTCCATGGCACTACCTCACCATCCTATGAGGGCTCAGCAGGAATTTCAGCCTCTCCAGTATTTCAGAAATCATCTCCCTCCTGTGGTAATTAATAAAGACATCTGATTTCCCCCTGAGGGACCTCTCTGTGGAATAAAGGCTGAGCTGCAGTCCCCTGAGGTCAATAAAAACCCAAAAATAGGGCAAAATTCAGCCTACAAATCCTAAACTCATATGTAGGAAAGATTCATAGCAGAATCATAGAAACCTATTTACCATCACTTCAACATTGCAAAGACTTTGTTTTGGCCAAATAAGTGCAAACTATAAGAAAATACTGGCTCCACTGAAGTAGAGAAACAACCTGCACTGGGGTCAGGGTTGTGGTTTTGGGTTGGGCCAGCATTTATATTATACATAAAAATATAGATATGTATTATGTCTCTGTGGAATAAAGGCTGAGCTGCAGTCCCCTGAGGTCAATAAAAACCCAAAAATAGGGCAAAATTCAGCCTACAAATCCTAAACTCATATGTAGGAAAGATTCATAGCAGAATCATAGAAACCTATTTACCATCACTTCAACATTGCAAAGACTTTGTTTTGGCCAAATAAGTGCAAACTATAAGAAAATACTGGCTCCACTGAAGTAGAGAAACAACCTGCACTGGGGTCAGGGTTGTGGTTTTGGGTTGGGCCAGCATTTATATTATACATAAAAATATAGAGATGTATTATGTATATATTAATATATAACTTTATATTCTGCTATGATGGTAACAGAGTTAATAAACCCAAACCCATTTGGCTCAAAACTCACATTGCTGCATTTATATTTAGATGTGTGTAAAATGCAGATCTACTCACATATCTCATGAAGAATTCTTTGCAGACATAAATTTGCATTTCAAGCTATTAAGGCTCATGTTTAATGAAACTCCAGCTCCAGCACCACACCAGATTATCCAGCTGAGATCAAGAACAGCCTTGTTCCTTCCCCACTCACCTGCCACCTTCCGTGCTGTTGACTGGCAGCTCATCTCCATCCTTCCTCCAGGATAATTTAAAACTGTGTTTCAAGTGGGAATCATACTCAGCCTGGCATTTCAATAAAATGGAATGTGATTTCAGCACTCGGGGGTTCTTCGGAGTAACAACAAGTTTTGTAGCATCTGATTGATCACAGAAAAACACTTTGATTAGGTGAGAGAGGGGCTATTACATCAAATTTCTACCAAGCACTTCATCTACACAAATCAACCTCAGGAGCAACAATCATGTCTCTTTTTTTTTGCTATATATACAAACATTTCAAGTGAAGGATGGTGGGGTTTGAAATAGATATTTGCCAGGATTTCATTTTTTTATCTTGAAACAGTTTTTTTATCTTCAAACGTTTTTTATCTTAAAACATTTTTTAGTTCACTCCAAACCAAAGGGCTCCAGGAAAAAAAAAATCCACAAAAAAAAAGTTAGAGGTGAAAATCCTTGTTATCATCTTGTCATGAAATGGATGATAATAAAAAAAAAGGGCTTGAATATGATTTTTTATGTCTAATTGCCATTTGAAATAAGCTTTGGCAATGATCCAAGAAAAATTACAAGCATATTAAAGTCAAGTGAGAAAAAATTATTGCAATCAAGTTTGTTCTTTTAATTGACTATAATCTGAATGCAGAAACAGATGAATAAGTAAGAAGAAAGCGCTTAGCTGAATTTATATCTGCAGTGAAATGTTGCTCTGTGAGAACTTCATTGTACATTTTCATGTTTATTATCACTGTAAAATTCCCAAAGCCAAGGGAGCAGGTGGAAATGGAACAAAAAGAGTGAGCTTTTTCCTCAAGTTTGTCACAGCAAACCTACATCAGAGAGCTTTGCTAATTGAGTATTTAAGGTTTGGGGTTTTTTTTAATTGGCAAGCCCTAAATCCTAAGCAAATTTGTAGAAAACCCACTAAATGCCACCTGTGTGCCCAACAGGAGCTGCCCACTGCCATCACACCCTCCAGGGAAAACCCCTCCTGCCAGCCACCCACACAAATCCCTTAAAGCAGAGCTGCATAGCAAGGGATGGATCTAAAATTTAAAAGTAAACACCTCCGAGGATTTTTATTTGCTCTGTTAAAAATATTTATTAACAAACAGGAAAAAGCCCAGTGCAAAGTCCTTCAACCAGCAGCACCCTGGAACCTGTTTGGTGTCCACTGTGGGAGTCAATCCAGTTTGGGATGTGCCTTCTGATGGGAAGGAATTTTAGGGAAAGGAATTCCACAGCTGGGGGAGAAGCAGGAACACATCTGGATCAACAAGGACCCCACCAAGCCCAGGAGCACAGGGAAGGCTCCCAAGGGTCAGCCAAGAGCCTGCCCTGCGTGTAACAGGGCAGTGACAAAAAGGAGGGAAAATCCTTTCGAGATAATGTGTAAATGTAAATTTTTGGTGGCTTGTGCCGCTTCTGCAAGCATCCAGAGGAAAATGGGCACCACGTGGGAGCACGGAGAAATCCAGCTGAAAAGGTAAAGGCTATGTGAGACCTGTGACAATTTCAGGTTGTAATATCCAGAGAATTCCTGAAGTCACAGAATAAATCTGTACCCTGGACTGAATATTCACTGCTTCCTGAAAAACTGTAGTCATAACATCTTAGCAGCTATGGAAGTTTTTTTGTTTTCTCACCCCTTATATCCAGGTTAGCAGTGATTGCTCTTTTCCCCACAGAATTTGCAGCCCAGCAGGCGTAGGACCCCGAATCCTCCTTCTTTGTGTCCCTGATCTCCAGGGTGCCATTCTTGTTTAACTCGTAGCGAAACGTTGAGAGGGGCTCTATGCTGTCATCCTTAGTCCTAAAGTGATAAAAACAAGCCTGGGTTACTGCAGGAAGTGTCAGTTCATGGTTGGGGGTTATTGCAGGGGAATTTTGGGGCTCAGCTTTGCCACTGAGCAATTAAAGTCAGGATTAGTGAGATACTTCATGCACGTGCAGCAAATCAAACCCACAGGGAGAGAGCCTAAAAAGTTCTCTAAAATACTCTGTCTTTAATCTACAGCTGCCACCTGCAATTTTATTGCACCTGTCACCTGCTGTGACAATCCTGTGATTTCCAAGCCTATGGAAGCATGTCCAGGTAAATGTGTTCTGTAAGTCACTGCATTTCCACCTCAATAACGTGCCCAAACTTGAAGAGTTGCCAGTATTAAACTGATGAAGCTGCAGCAGGATTTGGCTATAAACAGCATGGTTTTGTTTAATGTATAGCCTGGCATTTGTCTCAAACAGGTACCGGGGACTTCCAGGAACATTTCTTCTCCAAACCAGTTCTTCAGAATTCTTAAAAGCGCATTTAAACACAGAGAATTGACATTATATACAGTTTTGTTGCAAATTTCTGTTCTTAACTCTATAGAAGTAGTAACTAGCAGACTTTTCAAACTTGGGGAAGCCTGCAGGAACTTGTTTCACATGAAAAAAAAAAACCAGTTTCCAGTATCTTACCATCTGACATCTGCTGCAGGCGAAGCAAAGATGTCACAGTGCAGGAAGGCGCTGTAACCCACGACTGTGGCGTAGTTTTCCTCATCTGGGGTCAGTATCAGGGGGGCAATATCTGCAGGAGAGAATTCAATGTGAGCAACACTGCACTTCAGAATTAGGAATAAAAATATTGGCCCTGCATCCTGCCCTTTTCCAGCAAGGGTGAGAGGCTGAGGTGTTTAATGGGAATTTCACAGCTGTTTGGAAGAGTTGCACTGAGCAGCTGAGCTCTCAGAAGCTTCACTGACAGAGATAACAGGGGTTTACTGCTGGACATGTCAGAAATTGAAACATCCAGGAGAGAAAATAGACCCAGTTCTGCTGCCTCCAGAGATGTCTTTTATTAAATAAATTCCCCTCACTCCCTTTCTTCATAGAACAGACTGAGCATCACAACTGAAATCAAAGATTAAAAATACACTTAATAATTCAAAACTAGCATTGTGGCCACAATTCAGTCTCCAGCGGTTTCACTGTGCTTGAATTCAAATTTTTGAGCCCAACCACAACCATGTTGTTAAAATATTCCAAAGCTCAGGAGTGCCTGTGCTAAGCACATAACACTGCCCATGATAAAACCCATTACATTTCTTAAAATCTGGGGCTAGTCCAAAGGAACCATGAGATGCTCACGACCAGCAAAGAAACCATGGAATCCAAAGGAACCATGAGGAACCCAAAGGAACCATGAGATGGTGACAAGCCCCAGGCTGCTCTGAGGATTCAGCTGGGGTTGTGGATGTGCTGTCTGGGAGGGGACAGCCCGGGGCACTCACTGAGGACGTTGACGTTGGCGCTGGCCAGGATGGTGCCGTGCTTGTTGGTGGCCTCGCACTGGAACACGGCGCTGTCCTGCAGCTGCAGGTTGGTCAGGCTGATCTCCCTGGTGGAGATCCTCCCTCGGAAGGTCCTGCCTGCAAAACACCAGATTGTGTCAGCAGCTGGAGGAACACCGTGACTGGGGAGCTCCCAGGCTCTCCTCACTGCTGGGAAGCCAAAGGAAAGAACATCTTGAAATTCCAACCAAAACTGTGCCCAGCAACTGGTGAGTTCCAGGGCTCTGCCTTTGTCCGCAGCCCCATGGCCTGAGGGAAGTGGTCCAGAGCACCAAATTCCAGTAAATTCACCAGAGACTTTTTGAAATTATATTAATAATATCACCACACCAGTGCTCCCCAGCCACTTTAATCAGAAGCACAAAGGAGCCCTCGAACTGTCCCAGACCCCTCCCAAAAGATGGGAGAATTACAGGGCAACACCTCAAAGGTACCACAGCTCCACAGGTCCAATGTTCACCACCATCCTCTTCAAGAATCCTATTTAAATATTAGTTTATTTAAGTAAATAAACAATTCATATCTAAAGAGGTGCCAAACCAGACATCACTCTGCATATTAGGACTTGTGGGTCCCCTCAAACTGGCTGATACAGAGGCACACCCCAGCTGGGCAGGAGGAGCACCCTGGCCTCTGGACGTACCATCGATGGGCATCCCATTGATCTTCCACTGGATGCTGGGCTCGGGGTTCCCGATGGCCTCGCACAGCAGCACCAGGTTTGTCCCCACGCTGTAGACCCCACCTTCGGGCTTCTTCAGCCACTGGGGAGGCTCTGGGAAAAGAGACAGAGCAGGAATCAGTTGATGCCTCTTTGGGACTACCTAAGAACAGTGGCTAAACTAAATTAAGAGAATAGCTGTTCTATTTATTGAAAGGCCTTCAGGTACATTTAGGGCAGCCCCAGGGGCTGCACCCAAAAATGGACAGTGGGTCACGGGTTTTCACACTTTTATAAGTTTGGTCCATTTGCATATTGAGGGTTAATCTGCCAATTCCAGCTTCAGCTAATGAAGTCATTGACCCCAAGTTTGCTCCCCCAACTCACTTTTGTTCCCATCTCTGGCCCTGAGGCAGTGAGGTGTCCTTGATTGCCAGGCCTGGAGAGGAATTGTTGTGTCTGCCCAAACTGGGAAAGCAGCAGCTCCCACTGGGTGTGGAGTTTAGAGTTACACACTAAAGAACTGCAGGGTTACAAATAGATGGAAAATAGAAAAGCTGAAATCCTGAGGCACCACATTCACAGCCCAACGTGTGCCTCTGCTGTTGCTGGGATTCTCCAGGAGATGGCAAACGCCACCAACACTTCCCAGCCGCTGCTCACAGCCCATCCATCCCGTGGTTGAGCTGAATTCCTTGCATTTCCGATGTAAAGGAAAGGTGAAATTGGCATCAGCACAGGCCAGTGGTGTTCTGCAGGCTTGGTGGGTGTCAGGCAGGGTGGAGGAATGGGCAGCGTTCATCCAAGTGGGAAACGAATCCACAGGGAGGGAGAGGCTGGGAGGGAGGGAATGGGTCGGCATTTCCACAAGGACCCTCAGTTGTGAGTGTGATCTATGAATTAAGGTGAGGCTATTGCAGCAAGACAAACAAGGTGGGAACATCCATCCAGCTCGAATTCCCCTCCACAGGCACGAGCAAGTGCCTCCCATCACCTTCCCTGGGAGCTGACAGAACTCCAGGACAGCACTGATCCACTTGGATCCACCTGCCCCTCTCCCTGTGCTGAGGAAATGCACCATCACCTTGATTTCCTGTTTTTCCATGGTGTATTCAGATCAGAGGCTGATCCATACCACATCTAGGAATGGTAAAACATTCTCTCATGGCTGGGGATGAGTGGTTTGGTGCCACAGGGTGGTGGTAGAGGAGCAGCCATGTGCTGCTGCATTCCCCCGTGCTCTCCTTTCCTAGCTGTTCCAGGGAAGCTCTGGGAAAACTCTGCTCTGCAGAGCAGCCTCTGAGCATCAGGTATCCAAACCTCGTGTGGAACAGACATCCATAATGAGGGAAGGGAAATGAAGGGGAGAGAAAAAGGGAATTTATCTCATAAATGCTTAATTGTGACTGAATGCAGGTCCCTGAGCCCTCAGTGGGCAGCCTCAACCCAAAACACAGCCTGGAATTCATCATTTCCCCTTGAAAGGCACCAAACTTTGAGATTTTAACACCAGACCTGACACTGCCTCTTCTGCAAGTGCTGGGAAGATCACAGGGTTTTATTTTAATTTTCCCTGTTAAAAAGGTGAGGTAATGCAGGGAAAACGTGAGGATTCATTAGTTAACGCTCATAAAATGCTTTGAAGATTAACAGAGCTGTTGCCTGGTAATACAGCAACAGATGTTATCAGTGAGATATGCTAAAACAAAACATCACTGCTCATATTCACACAGATATTTTTTAAAAATTACCCCTAAAGTGGCGTGCATTTCCACATCCAGAGCAGCATTCCCACAGGAGAGCACCCAGGAATGGTTTAATTAACATACAAGGACTGAAGTCAAATTCAAACCGCTAAAGCTTATTTAAAATGATAAAATCATCCCACTTGCTTCACACAGCAGGGATTTTTCTACCAACATCCTCACTCAGTGCTTCTTCCCATCACACAGTGACATGACCACATCTGTTAAGCTTCCTGGTATTTGGCTCCAGGGAAAAACTCTGCAAACATCAGAATATTTTGGTTTTGCAGATATTTTTTCTTCTTTCTCATATACACCATGGTTTCATCAGATAAAGATGAGTCAAAGGCATGGAGGTGAAAAGGTTTGTAGCAGTCCTGATTAAATTGCTGGTTTGGAATTTTTCCCCTAAATTTGCCACAAACTGAGACAGGATATTTCCCTGGTTTGGAGACACCAGGCACAGGCTGAATAAAAACCACCTGAAAGATCCCTTCCTATCTCCACCTGTGCCACACTCTGGAGCTGTGAGCTGATATTTGATGTCACTGCTCCCCATTCTCAGCACTGGAATTGCTGTGAGTGCTCCAAGGAAGTGAAGAAGCTGTGAAGTCAGAGGCAATGAGATTTTGCCAGGTGTGAAATTCAATTTCACAGAAAGGCTGAAGAACCTCTTTTCCACGTGGCAGATGTGCTATACCGCTTAAAGTATACAAAATATAACAAAATATACACATATTTTTAGCAACTACAAAATCCAGGGGTTGGATAATCAAATAGTTATTCTGGAATGGCAAATATTTCACTGCATCATTTATTCTTCTTGGTAAGAGTTATCAATTTGCTTTTCCTGATTGATTTATGTCTTTATGGGAAATACTGACAGATCCAGGAATGAAAGGGATCTAAAATGGGCCTCTCCAAGAGAATCTAAAATACCCACAAAGGATCCAAACCTTCCCCTCAGCCTCTCCCACTGTTTTCCTCATGAGCAGAACAAATTTGGGACATCTAACCAGCTTCTGCCTTGCTGCAGTTTAACTCTCCCCTGTTTTCCATCACCCCCAGGGAACTTGGTGGAGAATTTTCCATTCCTCTGAAGGTTGTTGTGCATTCCCTAGGTGTAATTTCTCCTAAATTAAAGATATCTGGTTTTTTTTCCCCAAATGCCATATTTTGAGCCCTGTGACCACCCCTGCTGCCTTCTCCTGACCTTTTCTGAAGAAGATGAAGTTGTAAATCTGCTTACTTTAGGTGAGGACTTCTCAGTTCCCAGCAGTCTCTTACAACAACACTTTTCCTTCTATTTTCCAAGATGATTTTTGCCTTTTCTGCCAGACTAACACTTCCCAGAGATGTTCCTCCTGCCATCCAGTGGATTCTCCCAATAAACCCAAGCAGGCATTTCCCAGTCTGTGCTCATGGGGCCAATCAGTGCTGCCTGGTGAGAACTGCTCTGTGCTTGTTCCTGCTGAACCCAGCCTTTCTATCCCACACCACTTCCCCAATTTGTCAAGTTCACTTCAAATTCTGCTCCCAAAGGCTGGGAATCCATCCCACCCCAGGGCCAGCAGCAGCTGCTGTTGCCACCTTGGGCTCTGCATCCCTGTCGGAGCAATTTGCCAGTGAAACAGAAGGCTTGAGCCTGATTAAAACACCCAGTTCTGCTTCTGCCTCCCATTAATTTAATCTCTTTTCTTTTGCTCTGGCTGAGTAATAAAAGTATTACGAGACATAACTGCAAAGGCCCTTAGCTATTACATTATTACTATAATTAATCATCATATTGTAACAACTATTTCTATTAAACCCCACCTAGAAGCCTCAGTCAAGATCAAAGTAACTTTAGCTGATGATAATCCTGCAAGATTTGGAGGTTATATATTCATTTTTTGTCGAGTTTGGTGAACTACAAACAACAACTAAATAAACACTTGAAGTCAAAACAATTTGTGGGCTTGCTTTGCTGTTTTCTTGAAAATATTTCTCTCTCATTTTAATAACAATAGTGGGGTTTTTTGTCTGCGCAGGTATTCCAGGCTACATCTTCCCTTGCAAAGAGAAATTAAAATGCTCAAACAGTCAAACAATTTGCTTGCTGAATATTTTCATATGCTTGGTAATGATTGCCTGAATTTTTGCCCTCAGACTTGGTAGGATTAGGAAGTGGGCTGCATGCAAATATCATCAAAACTGGTATTTAGAAGGGTGGGATGTTGGTTTAAGATCCTCAAATACCAGAAAGTAGAACAGAAAATGTGGCACGGTGACAGAAAAATCCTGATTTACACCCCAGCACTCCACTGAGGGTGGCTGGAGGTTGATAACAGATAATTTTTCTTCCATATTTAATTTTCTTCTCCCTGCATGCATCCTATGAGAGGAACCTGTCAGGTGTGAGGAGCCCAACACCAGCACGAGCTCCCTGAAGCCTCCTGAAATTAAATGTTCAGGATGTGCCCTTGAGTGTGCTCAGAGGAGCTCCTGCAAGAATGATGAACGTGTCCATCTCTGATTAACGACAGCGACATTTGCTGCTCAGGAATTGGAGAAGACAGCAGGGTTTGGGCTCAGGTTTACCTTGATACCTTGGATGTGAGGTGACTCCTAATTGGAAGAATCCCTGCTGCTGACAGGAGCCACCTTTAGTTACACACATGGAAAATGGATTTAATAGCAATTGGAAAAGGATTTTTTGCGTTGCAGTGGCTGGGATTGGGATTATTTCCTGCTTTTCTCTTTTTCTCTTTTTAACTTGTTTGTTAATAAGCAGAAAGTTTGCCAGGAAGTTTTCCTTCCTCTGGAAGCTGTGGGAGAAGAAGGTCAATATTCTAAACTGCAAAATTAATGTTATTTCTCTGGTATTTTAGTTTTTGCAGCTCCTGCAATTTCTTTGAAGGAAATCGATTTTTTGCAGCCGAGAAAATCATAGCCAGATTGTTAAAATATTCTGCTAGAGCAGAGATGCTCCAAACCATCTGGAAGGATTTCTAGGAGTCAGCACTTCCCCTCCACCACAGCTGAGAACTTGCCATGCCCTGGGATCCTCCTCTGCCACACTCCCAGCAAGGGGAAGAGGAATGCAAGGGACAAGGTTGGGTTGAGGGAGTGGAGAGGACACATTAGCCACTGGGAGAGAATCTTTCCCTCAGCTGCTGAACAAATACAGAGCAGGGAGCTCAAAGTTCTTTTCTCCCATTAGAAATCTGGTGACCACAGAGGGATGAGGAGCCCTGATGAAAATGAAGCACTTGGAAGGTTCTAATAGGGTAAAACTGCCAGGGATTTGTTTTATTTTTTAAGTGCAGAGCAAGACGTTGGAACATTTTTTCATCAGGCAATTTTTTTTCAGCAAGGTTTTCAGCTGGGCCTCAGCATTCTCAGTTTGTAGCTATTTATGGGCAGAGGAAGTGGCAGGGAGAGTTCTTGGTTCTGTAACAACTCCTCAGAGCTCTGCTGGCTTCTGGGAAAGGGCATCTCCACCTGATGCACACCTCAGGGTTTGGGGAGGAGGAGAAGGGAAAAAGGAGCTTTGCGTAATCAGTGAGGTGACAAAAAGGGTCATATTTCCATTTTTTTAACTGATAAAAAATAGTAGAAAGCATCTTTTTTACTTTGTTTCACAGGTTTTGTGATACTTTTCAGGGATTCCAGAAAGCACTCCCAGCTCAGATTGTGTTTATACAAAAATCAGAGCAGAGGAACAGGTGAAGGAGGCAAGGGGTGGTACGTTGTCTGTTCACTGAATTTTCACAGCCCTCCCTAAGAAACCACTTTTGGTGGAAACCAAAGAAAGGGACTTGAGCTAAATGCCCCTCTGATCCAGCCCAGTATAACCATTTTCACAGTTTTTAAGAGCAAAAATTATAATTAGATCTTTCTTCTGACCTTCAGTTTAGTACAAGACATTTCATCAATACCTCTGCTTCACTCCCTCCCATCTTTAGAGTATTGAACCTGCTCACATATTTATATTGTTCCCTGCTTTTTAAAGCCTTCATGGTTCAGGGGAAAAAACCAAAAAGCATTATTTACATTTTTTGTTGCTGTTGTCTTAGAGTTGTTACTTTGTGCAAATCTCAAACCCAAGAGGCTGGCATCAATTGCTGGAGTTGCTCATATTAACAAAGAGCCTCCTTCACCTCTCTTTTCCCACCTTTTAGTCCCAAACCAATAATTTTAGTGAAGAGTACTGAGTACCTTCCACGTGCACGTGGAACTCGTGCCTGGCCCTGCCCATGGGGTTGCTGGCCGTGCACTGGTACGTCCCCTCATCAGCTGCTGTCACTTGGTCAATCTTCAGTGTCTTCCCAAAATTCTCTGTCTCTGGCTCATCCTTGGGCATGTTTCCTGTGACCTTCACCCAGCTGAGGTGAGGAGTTGGGCTGAGAACAAAGGGAAAAAAAAGAAGATTTTGAGTTGAATGCAAAAAGCTGCTGTGACGCTTCACCTGGCAGAGCTGCTGTTCACACCCAGTGTTTGGGAGGTGCTTTTAGAGGATTTTGAGCTTTTAAAGCTTTGAAAACTCTGGGGCTACCTAAGGTTATACTAAACAGCTGCTCTGCTGTTCCTTGTTCTGCACAACCCCTGTGAGTGGGATTTTCACCAGGACAAAGCTGCATTCCTTGGATGTGCCTTGGCATGGACAGCGGGCAAGGGGCTCATCCCCTCCTGCCCCAAAAGGGACCTGAGCACAGCCAGGAGGGCCAGACTCCACTGCAGTGCTTTGGAAGTGGCAGAAATGCTCTTCCCATCCCTAGAAAGAGCCAGAAGTGACACAGAACTGGGGACAGACGTTGTTGGTGACCCCGACATCGCGCAGGACACGCGGCCACAGCGCCAGAGCCGCGTCCTCCCGAGCCCATCTGTGCCTGCGGCTCCGGGCCCAGGCAGGAGGCACAAAGCCCCAGGTACCCAGAAATTCTGCTGCTCCACCAGCCCTGCAAATACCCCCTTATTCCCTCCCAGAGCCCTCATCCCACTCTTGTCCCAAAGCCAGCTCCGAGGCCGTGCCCTCCCGACACTGCCACTGCTCAGGGTATAAATCTTTAAAAAATGACAGGTTGGAAATGTCCCTAATTCCCTGTTTTGCAGTCGGGTGCCCCTGATCTGAGTTCCTTGAAATCCACTTCCATGGTCTGTGGACATTTGGCAGGATGGATTGGCAGAGACGTAGGCAAAGCTGATAGTTTTTCTGCTGAAAATGGGAATTTTAGCAAAGAAAAATAACATTCTAAAAATTGCATTTTTTGAAGGATTTCAATGAAAAGGTGTGCTTGGTGATAAGACAAAGAAGTACTTTGTGTTCTTTCAAAAGTGACTGTTTAAAAATAATCTCTTGGTTAAAAAGATTAATTTTCTTAAGAGTTTCCTGGAAAATTTAGAGTAAAACAAAAATATTCTTTCCTTTTACCTTTTTCCAAAGGGACAGAAAGACTTTTCTGGCTTTCTCTTCCTGTATCTGATATTCATGCTTGCACACCAAAATTCATATTTGAGTATTCCCAAGGTGATTTCCTTATTAAAACCCCTTGAAAACTCTCTAAAATCAGAGTTGTGGCTTTGGGGAGGTTTGTTGGCTGGCAGATTCACTTCGTGGGGAGTGAATTAAACAAGGAAATGTTGCAACAGGGAAGCAAAACTCACTGCAGATACCTGGAGTGAATCCAACAGAGACAAGTAATTCACCTCCTTTCAGGAATGCCAACTCAACTCCTTGCCAGCTTCCACCAGCAATGCCCTTTCAAGCCCATATGGAAAAACAAAATGCCCTAAACATGTGCAGACAGATAAATATCCTGACTTTGGAATTTTATGGAGGGAATATAATCGCAGAGCCTTTAATGGGAATTATCTTGGTGGGAAGCAGAGCCTGCAGCTCCACGTCCAGCACGAGGGGTCGGTGATTTAAAGCTCTGCTCTACACAAAGCTCTGTCCCAGCCAAACCAGAGGGGGCTCTGCTTTCCCTGGGGATTTAGTGGGTGCACAGATTCTCTGTTTCTCTGGTGGCAGCTCGACTTTTGCAGTGACAGGCACGGGGGACAAACTGGGACCCTGGAAGAGCACAGCAGGGCTCGTGGCTGAGTGAGCTGGAGCAGCAGCACCAGCCCTGAGAAGGGAATCCCAGCTCCTTGTCAAGGTGGAACTCAACATTTATTTCCCAGTCCCTTTCCTTACTTACCCTCATTTTGTCCTGTGTTATTTACAAGGACAAAATTTGTCGGATTAAGTAATACATTATAAGTGTTTCTTAGCTTGTTTTTAGCACATTATTTTATAAATGTTTTAAAGCTGATCATCTAAAACTACCCTTCCTAGGTCCTACTACGTCTTTCATAGTTGTGTTTCTCTAAACTATTTTGTCTTTTATACAAAATCACCTTCTAGCTCCACTTCTCTCTCAACATCTGTATTATTCTATAATATTTTTAAATCAGCATTTCTTATCTCAAAATTTGGACACAAATACATAGTAGATGAACTTTTTTGTCAAGTTTTAAGACTTCTCTACAAATTAATTTCCCACAAAAATTGTCCTTTATGATTTCCCATCATAAAGCAACTATTTTAACTCTTCCCTGGTATTAATCCTTTCACAGCCTGGAGGGAATCAGCAAGGTGGAGAGAGATTATTCAAAAGAGCTTGGAGAGACAGGACAAGGGGGAATGGCTTCAAACTGAGAGAAGGTTTAGAGGGGATTTAGAAGGTTTTTTAGGAAAAAGCTCTTCCCTGTGAGGGTGAGGATGCCCTGGCACAGGGTGCCCAGAGCAGCAGTGGCTGCCCCTGGATCCCTGGAACTGTCCAAGGTTTAGAGGTTTGCTCTTTGCTGTTGGATTGATCAGGATCAAACTAATACAGCTGATACTGTTTCACTGTACTCCTACATAGCCATGGATTTGTCCCTCAATATCCTGTTGTTTGTGAGGACACCAAGGAATGAACATTCCTTGTGGAAATTCTGGGTGCTGGGGAATGCCCACAGAAAACAGCCAGGGTCACATTCACACCTGAGCCAGCCCCTCCTGCTGTAACTGAGATTGATGTTTTTCCCTCAATGGCCCAGCCATTCCTTAACGGAATTCTTGTGTCACACCACTCAAGAACTTTGTTTTAAAAAACTGAGATCTTACACCTGGAAAATCTTAAATTTTGAGCATTGAAGCAAAACTGAATTGGTAAAACCAGAAAAAAATCCATTACAGGTTGTGAACAAAAGCACTGAAGCTGATGCTGATATTATTTTGTTTCTTGACATCTCAAAAATAGCACTACTGAAAAAATTTCAGTTTTTAAAATAGAAAAATAAAAAAAAAAATCCATACTTACCACACCATGGTTTTAATTACTTGTTTACAAGCTACAGCAATAACCAACACACTACTGTTGCCTGCACTCTGTGCTGCTTTACAGGTACAGAAAGCTCTGCACAGGAGTTGCATTTAAAACCGTTGCATAATTTGTAATATCCCTTTTTCTTTGCTCATTTCTCCCTCCAAAGGTGATTAAGTTTGTGCAGCATTTCCATTACTCACAGCCCTTCAGCAATACACTCGAGGAGCAGGACACCTCCCTTGATGACAGTGACTGATGAGCTACTGCCAGCAGATTCAGGAGGGATCAGCAGTTTGGGCTTCCTTTCCTTGATAAAATTTGCTGAAAGATAAAATAAAACAGAAGTTAGGTGCAAAATCTCAGATATTCTTCAATAATGCCACAAAGATCACTGCTGCCAGAAGGTTTCTGACAGCCATTTGTGTGCTTTCTTTTTTATTTATCTACTCTGAGATTAATCCAGGAGCCCTGATAACAGCCAGAAGGGAAGTACAGTGATATCAACAGGCAGCAGTGCTGGGAAAACTCTTCTCCTATAGTTTTGTATCCAGTTTTCCAAGCACTGGCCCTTCCTCAGGCAGTCTGATCTTCTCAATTCCTGATCTTTAGGCCCACACCTCCTTTCTTAGCACCTTTCTTCTGCAGTGGATCCATCATCTTTTAAACCTCAGGTGAAACCCCACCTTTCCTGACTTGAGCATCCCACAGAATTATTCCTCCTGCTCCAAATATTAAATCTACAGTAATGGAGTTACAATTTGTAAGGAAGACTGTAAAAATAATAAAACAAGATTGACCTGCATTTGATTCCAACAGCCCATTTGTTCCAGCCTGCCAAACAAGGGTTTTAGGATGAAAAATGCAGGGTTCAGTGGCTGCCCAGTTATCACTATCATAACAATTAGCACACTAATGAATCAGTCCCCAAATGGTGCTAGTTCTTAAAAAAATAGCCAGTTATGGATGATTTGGTAAAAGACTACATAGATCTCCCTGAACCATTTTCTCATTTTTAATTTTAATTTCCCCTTGCTTTGTATCTCTGCAGATCTGTGTCACAAGTGCTCCGAGTGCAGCAGGACACGTTGGTGCCTCTGGACACACTCACACATTTCCCATCTGCCCTTCACCTCCTGCTGCCAAAGGCAGCCAGACCCCTTCCCAGCACGAGTTCAGACATCCCTTGGAGGGAAAAACTGCTTCTGGATGTGCAGCCACGGTGCAAAACCCTGCCTGTGCTGCTCCCAGGGCTCAGCTCCATGGGCAAAGTCAGGGGAGTGATGAGTGCTCTGAGTTATCCATCACAAAACACTCCAGGATAACCTCCTTTTCAGAAACCTCAATACTTGTCTGGCAAAAAAATCTCCTAGAGGAGGTTAAAACTGGACATAAAAAAAATAATAAAAAGACTATTAAAAGGCCTTTAAGCAAAGAAATGAAGAGTCAAGAGCTACAGAGTCTAAATATAATATATTTGAAACAAAAGGAAGCAGGAGGACAATTGCAGGAATAGGCACCTGCTGCCTGCAGGATATTTCCAGGATCTGCTCCACAGAGAGGGGCAGGCAAAGCAGTGGGAGATGGGAATGCACAGGATGAGAAGGGCTTTGCTGTGGTGTCACCTATGCTGGTGACACACAGGGCACCACAGAGACAGAGCCACCTCCCACGCAGATGGAGGTGACACAGGGCACCCAAACTCCATAAATCCACACCCTGAGCTCATCCTGGAGCAACGCAGCCCCAGGGTGACCCTTGGGACATGAATTCACCGTGTCAAACCTTGGCTGTCTCATCCCAGAGTTCTCTTAACCACCAGAAAAAGATTTGGAGCATCCAGCTCTGGCTCCTGTTCTGAACTGATAACATGAGAAACCCTGAACATCAATGTCCTCACTTCCACCCCCTTACAAAGCTCCTTTCTCAAGTGAAAAAATAAACCTGCCTTTTTCATTAAAAGCCCTGCAGATTGCTCTCAGAAACTACAAGATGAGCCAACTGTGCTCCCTGGACTGCTTAAATCCACCCCATTACAATCAAGAGGCTTTTGTGTTGTGTTTTTGAGCAGCTCCCATTTCACCTCAGCTGGTAGAGTCTCAGTTCAAAGGCTAAAAACAGGTATGTTCAACTCACCCTTAGTAACAGCAGCGTTAGGTGAGCCTGAGTCATTAGCATGCTTTACTGAAATAAATAAAAATGACAACCAAACAAACATGCAGGGTTGAGACAGAATCAAAAGAAACCATAAATCAACCAAAACAAAACCATGCCCCTCCCCACCCCCCAATTTCTGCCCCAAAAGAAAGAAAGAATGAAAAATATAAAAGAAAGCAACAGATGAGCAACTGAGTTTTAAAATACAATGAAAATGCTTTTGTGTTATTCTGTATTAATACTTCATGGGTGATATAATTAGCATTTCATCCTTGCTATCTACAGCAATAAAAATCACTAACTATCCACAAAGAGAAATGTTATAAAATGCACCCATTCTCTTGTTTCTTATTGCTTATTTTTGTTCTATTTCTTTTTAATGCAGTCCCTCACCAGGCACTTGGCACAGGGTGGAGTGGGCAATGTCAAGCTGAGTTTACAGAACCCTTTCAGTTCATGCCTCTCATCTTTTCCTGGCCCAAGTCCTGTGGCTTTGATGACAAGATGGACACACTGAAGTGGGTTTTTGGGCCACTTCCAGGGCTACAGCAGCCAAAACCTATCTTGTTTTTCTCTAATCTCTGTGTGCATGTGTGGGGGACTGAACCCAACTGAAAAGCCATGGAGAGCAACATTTAACTTGATGTTTTTCTCACAATTATTATCCCAAGAGACAGTCTAAGCAAGCATTAAACACAAAAAGCCATTATTAATCCTTTATCTTTTTATCCCAACAAGAAAACTCTCAAAAATCACATATTAAACATGAGGGTTTCATTCATGAAGACAAAATTCTCATTGGCTTTCTGGGCTGTGTAGGTCTGAAAGATCAGAGGTTTCAATGAACAACTAAAATCTTAAATTCCCTACACATCAAGGAACTGGAAACACCTTTTTGTGTTTTTGATGCTCCAGGCTGCCTGGAAAAACCTGGAAAATATCATTCTTCCAACCTCACTGCTGAGGCTGGACCAAACCAGGTTCTGCCCAGGGAAGTCCTCAAAACCCAGTGAAGTCCCATTCCTGGGGACCTGCTGGACTCAAGAGCAGCAGATTTCCCTAAAGCATCCTTGGCTTTCACTGTGGGAACAGCAGGAGGAAGAACAGGGCACTGTTGGGGTCTGGCAGTGATGCCCTAGAATTTTAGCTTTTAAATTTTTCAAACCCTGTACTGCTTTAGTGTATAACTCTGAACTCCATATAGAGTGTCAGCTCCTGTCTTCACATTTTGGGCAGACACAACAATTCCTCTCCAGGCCTGGCAATCAAGGACACCTCACTGCCTCAGGCCCTGAGAAATGTAAACAGTGACTTTGGGGGGCAAACTTGGACTGTTCTAGGCAGCCATCCCAAGGCATTAGTTCTTGGTGACCCAGATGGGACAGGAGAAACAGATGCCTTGGGATGGCCACCAAGAACACAGGCTAGAGAAAGAAGCTTTCCTCAGTGAAATTTAGCCCCAAGAACAAGGTTAACAATGCAGGAAATAAACTCAGCAAGGTGCCCTTTGTTGACAGAGCCACACATCTGCATGCACTGCTGCCTGGGGAGCTCAGAACCAGCAGCAAAGAGAGAGCTCAGCCCCACACTCACAGCGGGAAACCTTGAGCGTCATCGGCATCTTCTGCACGATGGTCCTGAGCCTGGGGAAGGCTGCAAAGCAGCAGTAGTCACTCCTGCTGTCGCTCTCCTCCACGTTGGCAAAGTAGAGATCTCCCTTCAGGCTCATGGAGACCCTTTCATCCTGTGGGATGTGCTGCAAATCTGGCAAGGAAAAGTAATTGTGACGTGGTGTGGGAATCGGAAAACCAGAAACTTGCACAGACACTGAAGTGGAAAAACAGAAACTTCCAAAGGTACTGAAGGGTTTGATCTGCAGCCTTGAGAGAAGCTTGGATTGATGTAAAAATACAATACACAGACATTAAGCAGAAAAATCATAAACTTACGTTTCTATAGACGCAGGTGAGAATATCCCTTAAGTGATAAACTGCACTGACAAGATGGTGAAGGGTTTATAATGCAGGGGTGTGGTTGTATGGAGTAACTAAGAGTTTAGGAGTTACAATATTAAATCTCATATTTAATGAGATGCTGTGCCAATGCACTCAACAATTTAACTTTGGGTCATGTCAAACCAGATCTCCACCCTCCATTTTTTAATTTTGTTCTTCAGTATCCAGATATTTTTCCCAAGCACTTGCACCATTACAATTCCTGCCCATGACAAATCTGCAATGAAGCTGCTCTGCAAGACAAATGCTTTGAGGACCCTTGTATGAATTGTGCAAAAACCATTTACTCACCAATATTCATCCAGTAGATATGCAAAGGGGGGATGCCTTTTGGTGGGTTGCAGTGCAGAATCACAGAATCTCCATGCTCCACATCCAGAGGCTCAATTTTTTCTTTGGGGAATTTTGGTACACCTGTACAAAAAAGCAAAGAAGTTCCTCTATTATTGGTACCTTTTGAAATTTTGCCTTTTGCTTTCCCCTTGACAGAGTTTTAATAAAATGTTTACCTTTACATCATCCTTTGCATTCTCTACCTTTAATACTGATTTTAATTTACATGGAGGCACAGAGCAACGATGAGTTTTACTCAGAGTAGGAAATCTGCATTCTGGGACAGTTACAATAGGAATCTTTACATTCACAAAGTTCTTGGAGCATCCTATCCAAAGCCAGGCACTGAATGGGGATGTTTAACACTTGTTTGTGATGTCCTGTGCTTTGCTCTGGCTTTACTTTAACACAATTCTTTTCAAACACTTTCTTTAGCTCCTTTGTGCTGTCTGGAAGGGACCACTCAAGGCCAAAGGGTCCCTAAGGACAAGCCTGGCACGAAGGGCTGTGCACTGGTGGGGCCCCAGCTGGAACTCTGCCCAGCCTCTGCTCCAGGGCAGCCTGCACAAGGCATCACCAGGAGATCAGAAACCAGCCTGGGAGTGTGGAACATTCTGGGAAGCCTTGGATAAAACATGGTTCCTAAGGACCCAATACCAGTCTCTCAGGTGAGGACAGACACCAGGCTCGTGCCTTGAGCTGTCCCAGCTCTCCTCCATCTCCAGGATCAGAGGAAGGCTGCTGTGAAGCCTCCTCAGGCCTGGAAGCTCAGCCTGGATTCCTGCAGGGGTGCAAGGACAGGCTTGGCACAAAGCTCACAGGGCTGTACCAGGGCTGCTCTAGCTGGGTTTAAACACAGGTTAAATGGTTCATGGATCAATGTTTCACCACCCACAGCACCTGATGCCAGCATTTTGTTCAAAGCCTGGCACACCTGGGCAAATTTGGATGCCCAAAATGCCTCTGGAGCTGATGTGGAAAATGGGGAGCAGAACTGGTCTGGAGCCCACCCCAGACCAAAGGAGGCTCAGCTTGGACATGATCCCAGAGAAAGCAGCCTGCAAGATGGAACCACCCCTTGAAGGAACTGAGCTAAGGCAGTTTCAGGGCTGACGTCGCCTCCTGCTTTCATTTCAGGCAAGTTCAAACTGGCCAAAGTTTCACTTCAGACCAGCATCAACCAGCAAAATGAGCAGCTTAATTAAATTAAATGAAACAGCAAAGGATGGAGAAGGTCCTGGCTGTGCAGTCAAAGTGGCACAGCCAGCATCACCACCCTGTCACAACAGGGAGCTCTGAGAGCAGCTCCACATCTTGACACATCAGTGGTCCAGCAGGGAACCTGCAACATCCCAGTGCAGGAGGCAGAGGAAGGGAGAGGGGGAGAAATGCAGGGACAGGACTCTGAGGACATTTCACACATCTAAGGATTAGTAAACATGAAAAGAAGCAATCACTCCAGCGCTGACTGCCTGAATGCAGGCTCTGCAGAGATTTTATCTCCAGGAGGATTATTAATAGGTTAGGAATTCTTAGGAGAGGCAAAATGCAGCTAATGAGCATCACCCACTCTGTAGGTGAAATTTCAGGTGAAAAAAAAAAGAGATGCATATTCATATCCAGTACCTTCAGTAACCTGCACTCTTCAAGCCCTGGGAAATACATCTGCTGACTGCAGAGGTGGAATATTTTCCAGCAGGAAAAAGCCAATTTTTTGATCTAAAGCTTATTTATTCCCCAAAGCACGTCACTCCCAACAAAACTTGAAATAAGCTGGATCAGAGAAGGATAAAGGGATTTCTGACCAAACCAATGAGATCAGCAAATGGACTAATACGGGATCACTTATTTAGGACATTGGAACCCCTTGTTCAAACCCATTTTTTGCCTCATTTAGCAGAACTAAATCTGGGTTTCTGATATCCCAGCTGGGTGCCATAACCACTGGGCTTCTCAGTGAATTTCTGTGGCCAGTAATTACAGAATTATACAGAAATTTAGTGAGTCCCACCAGGAGACAGTGACAAGTCACAGTCCCGGTGTCATTAGCTGGCAGCACAGCCATTCATCTCCAGTGGGGCCCAGATGTTGGCAGCTGGACTTCACTGGGGGAAGCAACAATTTGACCCCAAATGTCCTCCACCTCCAACAAGTACTTGCACCACAGGTCCTTCCATGCTGTTTTTTTTTTTTTGCTTAGTTCACCATGAAAAGCATTGAAAAACTTCAATTTTCATCCTCATAATGATAAATTTCAATGTTTACTCCTTGAAGCTTTGCAAGAAATGAAAACTCATGACAAATTCCTGAGCCAAACCCTCTGACAAGCATAATTTTATTGCTGGGGTTCCACTGGTCTCAAAGACTAGAAAAATATACCTGCTTCTGAATTCAGATTTATTCAAAATAAAAAGCTTCTGTCACATTAGACTTTGCCTTTTGCTCATCGATCTTCAGGATGTCTATGCAGGCAATATTTTGGATATTTTTGGAGGGCTCCTATCTTCTAATTAGAGGATATTCCAGGATTTGTGGCCAATCACAGGAAGTATCATAGCTGAGTTCAACTCCACAGCACAAAAACCACAAAATAAATTGTGCTATGGAAGGGTTTGGTATGGTACAGAGTTCTCAGTGCGGCACATGGCCACTGAAAAATCCAGCTGATGGCTCTGCAGTGATAGCACTGCCACTGCTCCATCAATATTCCATGGAATCCCCACCCAGGGATGTGACGAGAGGGGACAGAGGATCCAGCACAGCTCTGGGTGTTGCTTCCCACATCCCCACAGCACAGGGGAGAACAGAGGGATTTAGTGATTCTGAAAAAGCCCCAGGAGGGCTCTCACCACACACAAATCATGGGGTGTGAGTGGAACAGCCACGGGGAAGACTGAAACCTGCACTCCCAACTCCAGCTATGGAGAATGCCCCAAAATCCCACCGTGACACCTCTTCAAATACTCCTGGGAAAGGCCTTGCTGACCAAGGGTTTTTTCCTGACAAGGCTGCACTCAAAAACCAGAACTGAAGTGCTCTGACAGTGTGTGAACCATGGAAACAGAAGATTATCAGTGGCCAGAGTCATCTGTGCAAGAAGCCAGGGTCTGTTTAATCCCTGGGGTGACTCAAAGTTCAGTGACTGAGCTGTGCTTGAGACCAGGCTGAAGCACCAAATTTGGGGGAGCTGGGAAAAAAATCCTGATTCTCTCTGTATCCCTTCAGAAAATGCAGTTTCTCAACCTGAAGCAAACAGGAGACAGTGCTAAAAAGGCTAAATTTGAGTTTAGCAGAAATAGAGATTCAGAAATACATCAAGCAGAGCTGGGAACTCCAGTCCCCAACATTGCTCCAGATTTACTCAGGGATCCATTTAGGACACCTTGTCCTACAGCTCAGTTTTTGTCCTACTGCTGATGGCACTGACTTCACACTAAAACTGTGTCAATTATGGCAATTTATTCCAGTTTATGTGAGAATGGAGCCCATTCCATTAGGTATTTTACATGTTTTGGGGTGAAGTGTTGAGAAATGGAGCAAAGCAAAAGCATTTCTCCAGGTAACTTGTCCTTGACATCCCTGTGTCTTGTTTCTACCAACATCAGGTGTAAAATGGGAGTGAATTCAGGATGATAAATCAGCAATTAGCAAGTACATTGTGAAATTATTGTAGAAAAGCATCACTGTAACTCAGGTCTGGTTTTATAACCTTCCCTGTGGATTCTACTGAAGATATCCTGGGATAAAGGAGAATTTAACCTGATCCATCATGGATAGTTTCATATTTTTCCTTGCAAGTAAACCCTTAAATGATGTAAAAGTGAGGCAAAGCAGAAATAGTCCAGAACTTTCTATAATCTCGAAATTTCCAGCTCCTTAGACAGTTAAATTAGTATCTAATTATGATTTTTCATACAGATCTGTATCTTGTACAGCAAACAGCTCAACATTTTAAAGAATCTGAACCATGACTTGCAGTCCCTGATGTTGAGCTGCACTGAGTGAAGCTTGGGAAGTTTCCAGGGCTCATCTCCGTGCCTCAATTGATATTCTGATCCATGGAGCAGGAGCAGTAGTTAAATCTGTAATTTCCACTGCAGCCTTTGAACTGTTTATGAGATACGACCCTGCTTGTTTATGGATTTTTTAATTGTTGCCTTAAATTGAAAAAGTTAGCAAAGCCTGCCTGTCAGGAAGAGCGTGGCTGGGAGTCCACTTGCTCCTGAAGGTGTGGAATGGAATCAGTGACAGCTTTTTTCTGTGTAAATCTCTGTTATCTTTTCCAAAATGATGGCCACAGGCAAGAATCAGAGCCAGCCTAATGATTTAGGTGGCCACAGGGGAAGGTCACTGGCTTAGGAGGCAAGAGGGTTAAATTTTATCCCCATCACCTGCAAAGTCTCAGTGAATTTCTCTCTTTTGTTTTCTCTTCCATAAAAGCTACACCAAAGCCTTCACAAAACTGAGACCTCCTCCTTCAGTATCAGCTCAGTATCTTGTACTGATTTCAGGATATTCACACCTGAGTGAATATTAACTCAGGTCTGGTTTCTTTGGGAATTCTTGCACTAACATCACATCAGAGCACAGCCTGCCACGGGACAATTTTACATTCAGCCAATATTTCCATCCTCAGGTCTCTGGTCTTTTGGAGCAGCAGCTTTAGAAATACCAAGCATAAATCTTGACTCAGTCTGCCGTGAAGAGTCTTTTACAGCACAGTTAATTAAAGAAGTTTAAACTGTACTTCTTCTCCTTCCTCTGGCATTGGGCCTGCTCACTAATTCAAGCAGCAGATTCCCGAAATGCTGGAGGAGGGGAGCTGAAGTCTGTGTTCTCACCATTTAAATTCATTTTCATGCTGAATGTATCTTGTAACAATCTGGCCTTTGTTAGTGCTGCAAACACATTGAGATCCTCAGAGCCCATTCTTCCCCCTCTCCTTAATGTCATCCTACATAGGGGAGGTGGGGTATTTTCATTATGTAGGTGAGATTTAATGATCATTTCTGCTGACATTTCTATTGCTTCCCTGAAATGACTACTGTGAGTAAACATTCTTTTGTTCTCCTTTTCAGCAGCAGCCTTACAGACTCAGTATTCTGCTTCTGCAGTGGAAATGTAATTTATGAAAGAAACTGCCCTGCTCTGCCTGGCTGGGGTTTTCTTCCCTTCCCTGGCACGGTGACTCTGCCAAGGAGCTTTACATCTGACTTGAATACAGCTGGCACAGCTCTGCCACCTCTGCATCATTATCATGAATGCAGGGAGTGATCTCACATGTACCAGTCTGTGCTCCAAAACCTGGGGGTGAATAGAGGTGATTTATCCCCAGCCCCTCCCTGGCAGGTTCTGATTTACAGCAGATCTGTGCACCAGCAGCTCTTTCACTGGGGTACAGTTGTAGAGCACTTTAGAAAATCAAAGGTGCCTTCTACTCCTCTCTGAATCCTGATTTCATTTGCAGCTTTTACATTGCACCAGTAAATGAGAGACCTGATGGCAGAAGAGTTCTAATGTGCTTCAATGGCAAATGTGCTTCAAAAGATGTGTGAGTTGGGTAAATCCCTCTAATATATTATCTGTACTACGTATTTTTTTTGCTGGGTTTAGGAATTTGCATTTATTAGTTCTCAAATTCCTCTTGCTTTTGATAACGACCATGTTTATAACCTCTCCATACATTTGTTGCCATCCACTCCCAATATATTTAATATCGACTTAAGCTACTCTAGACTGTTCTTCATTAAAAGCAAAAAAGTCTCCTCTCTGAATACAGATTCAATAATCCCAAATACAGACATCAACTCCTTGTTTTCCATGTTTTTTAGTTCAGTAGCAATGGAACATCAGAATATTCTGCTGCTGGAGGTACAAACATGACACTGAGCACTTTAACTCCCCTCAAATGTAATGAGTTTGAGATATTTTGCTTAAGAGAAGTTGTATTAACCCCACTGCCCTGGCCAGACTCCAAAGTGAAAAGCTTTGTCTGAAGTTTAACTGCATCACTCTCCTGTCTCTGCCTGGAACTCCAGCTGCCATCAGCTGCCCATCCTACCCTGTCAACAGTTCAATAAACCTCAACAGTTCAATAAACCTCAACTTACTGTCCTAAAGCTTCCTGCAACTCTCCTCTGCTCTGGAAAGCTCTTCCCTAAAACAGCTGCGAGGTGGTGGAGACTAAACCACAGAGCAACACCTGAATCCTGCTAACTCCTCACCCAACACCCAGCTCTGGCATCAGGGATTACTGTGGCACATTGCAACATAAAGTAGATTTCCCAAGGAAAAAGAAATCCATAAAGCTGGATGGAAGGAAAATAAAACGTGTTTTTCATGAGGAGCACTCATAAAATACATTTACATGGCATCCTCAGCAGCTCTCTCCCAGGAACTGGATGGAAGGAAAATAAAACGTGTTTTTCATGAGGAGCACTCATAAAATACATTTACATGGCATCCTCAGCAGCTCCCTCCCAGGAACCCTCCCAGCCCTTGCAATGTCTTGGTTTCAATGTGCCCACAGCACCACGACTCTCCCAGCCCTGGCTATGCCTGGAATGCTTCTCAGGATTATTTCGTATGCTGAAGACAGGACAAAAATGTTTATTCATGTATCTCATAGCCCATTTCATCTGCACTGATCTGTCAAAAGCAGTTTTTGTACAAAAGCAGCCACCTCCTGTCACTGTGGGGCTGAGAAGGCTGTGGATGCATCCCCTGCCACATGGATTCCACCTGAGCATGGAGCTGTCAGATAGCTGAGAACAAAATACTGCAGGAGCTTGGAAATGCAGGATCTCATCTGAAAAAATCCACTGCACTGCTGCTTTTCTCCATCTCTGCCACTGAACTGCATTGTAAGACCTGCTTCAGGTTCTCACCCAGTTCCATCCTGAAGCTGGGGGAGTTTCTTGTCCTTTCTACTCCCTCTGGGAAGATTCTGCTTCTGCTTTTCCTCTTCTAATTTCATATGTTTCAGTCCTGAATTTCAAACCAAAATATGTGCTCACATTCCAAGCTACAGGTGATTAAATGGATTGGTGCAAACCAGCTGTTTCAGCTTTGGGACACAGTTGGATGCTGAACCTGGCTGGGCTGGGTTAAGGGTTGGATTCTGATTTTAAGAGCTGTTTGCCAACCTTAATAATTCTTTGATTCTATCTATAAATTTCATTCCACTTCTGCAAACCTGGTCCTTAATCCCTCATTTTCTTCTCTGCCCTTCCTCCATGCTAACAGCAGAAGCACAAATTTCTAGGATCAGTAATTTTCCCTGTTTTATTTTTAAGCTTGTTTTCCATTCCGCTCCAGGGCTTTTTTCTTCTCCCCATCAGTATTTATCCCAAACCCTGAATGCTGCTGACATCAGATTAATGAACTCACAGCTGATCAAATCACTTCCCCTGGAGTTTTCAAACATTTGCATCCGTTGCTATTTTGCAGTAATAACCTGTGGGAGTTGATAGTTCAGTGGTCTGAAATCCTGCATCCAGATTTGGTTTCTGTCCTCAAAACCAGGAATTAAATTAAATTATTCCAAGAAGAAAATACCATTGTTTTCTTTGAATGTTCACTGAATAACAAACAAGTCATGTTTTGCCATTCACCACCTTAGTGAGCAGTTCTTTCCCGTTTATTTTGAGGAAAGACAGCTCTCATCTCCATAATAAAAGTAATAATTACAAATTCAAACCAAAAATAAAGCCCTTACTTGGAACAATCAGCTCAATTTCCTCTGACATGGCAGTTCCCAGCACGTTGGATGCAAAGCAGCGATATTTCCCTTGGAAATTGTTGATGATTCCCCGGTTTTGGATCACAAAAGTTCCAGAGTTGTTAGATGTGACTATCCTGGGGTCAGATGATAAATCAAATGGTTTTCCATCCTTAGTCCAGTTAAAGCTGAAAAAGAAAAGAAAAGTTACAGAGGGCAGGCCCCAGGAGAGCCTGGGGTGATTCCATTGAGGTTCTCCTTGCCATAGATCCATTTGTAGTTGTGATGATGCTGGGGGGCAGATTTTGATAAATGCTCTTCCCGTACTTGCAATTCTCAGATGGATTGAAATTTGCCTAAACTGATTCAAAATCAGACAGCTGGAAATTGCAGTAACATCAGTTTAGTGGCACATGTACCTTTCTTTTTAATTAACAACAAAACAAAATTGGTTTTGCACTTCAGTGTTCTTGGAAAAACTGCCTTGCTCCAGGATGGAGGGATGATGGGATCCTTGCTCCAGGATGGAGGGATGATGGGATCCTTGCTCCAGGATGGAGGGAATATGAGATCCCTGCTCTAGGATGGAGGGCATATGGGATCCCCTCTCCTAACAGGCACTACCACATCATTTAAATATACCAGGAAACTTTTCACTGATGCACTGACAAACAGTGGAACAAAGGGAATTTGTTATCGTGCTGCAAATCCCCATTCAGAGCTGAATTAAAAATTACCAAATCATCTTGATCTAAATAAAAGAATGCCTTTTAAAGTTTAAATTGTATTGCAAAGAATGAAGAAGGGAAGGATTAAAGAGAAAAAATTATTCAAACCAGCTATTAATTTAGCCCAAACACCATTCAGTGGGGAAAGCTCAGGAGGAGTTTTTACTGTGTTATTATTACACTCTTGCTAATCACATTTTCATTAAAAATCTTTCTCTTTTCCACACTAGTGTAAAATGCACAGAGTTCATCTTTGGATATTTATTTGAATAACTCCTTCAGTGTCTATCTGTACCATCACCATGGCCCTGCTTATGTTAGGTGCAGACAAGGTATCTGATAAAATGCAAATTGGTGTTTGAATACACAGTTTATGTGTTTGGGATTTTTAGGGTTGCTGTGGAAGAGACAGAGGAACAGCTGGGCCCCTCTGATTACCATGACACAGCCCATCTTTTGCAGCACAACCCAGACAAGATTTTTTTTAAAACCAGTGGGTGAATTTGGCACGTGCCAGAGAAATGAAACATCCCCCAGCAAGGAAAACCGTGTTGATACCTATTCACAGGGTATGGGGAAGTGATGGAGCAACAAAAGCTGAATGGCCTGAATGAAAAAAATGAACCTTAACCCTGCTGAGGATGATGAGCAGGTTTTTGTGCAGCAGCTCCTGACAGACACAACAATGTTTGGCAAAGGTTAAAAGCAAACTCAGCTTCTGTTTGCTTCTCCAAGCAGTACTCACGTGGGCTGCGGGTTTCCTCTGGCTTCACATTTAATGGTGAAGTCCTCATCAAAGGGGTAGGCAACCTGGGTGTGGGATTGCTCTGTGATTGTTGGAAGCTGGGAAACTGAACACAAAGAGGAATGGGGTTAAAACAGCGTTCCAGCCCAACTGGGCTCCCCTTGAGTGGAGCGGGACAATGGCAGGATTGCATTATTCCTGCAGAAAGTGAGCCTTGCCTTGGGAAAAGGATGATCATCACCTCCCTGGCATGGACATTACCCTCTGGTCACTGTCACTGCCTTCATGGCCAAAGAAAGGCCTGGCAGAGGGACAGAGCCCACCCTGATTCCCCTCCAAACCCACCCGGGGCAGAGGGGAGCTGGGACCACGCCAGAGCCCGAGCCAAAGCACGGTGCTGTGGCCTGGCAAATTTATTCATAGGTGAAGTCAGAAACTGGATTTAACCCAGACACAGATGCACACACATGAAATAGCAAACTGCTGCCTCCATCCTGGATAAAATTGCCAGAAAAGCCATGGCCTGCAAGGCTGGTTTAATATCTGCCCCAGGGTGCAGCTACATGGCCACGCACCGAGGCTGCACGAACTTCTGTATTTTTTCTGAGGGAATTAAAGTGTTGCAAAAGCCTGTCTAACAGAGGAAGGAAAATGTTCCCTGCAGTGGAGCTGGGATAATAGGATAACCCCATTGTTATAAACAGGCAGGAAGAGAATTAAAATGCTCTTTATGTGCTGCTTTAAGCGCAGGGAGCTCAAAGCTGGAGTGAAACGCGGTGTCTTGATATAACATGGTCTCAAAGCTGAACACTTCCAAGCCCACCAGCTCCACTGATCAGAAATAACTTTTTATTATAATATAAAATGCTTCATTACAGCTAATTAAGGGTTAGGTGGTTCCCTGGGGTAGGTTCATAAAAGCAGTGGATGCCCAGAGAGTTTGTCCTGTTGCTTTACAGTCACAGCTCCACTTTGGCTTTATTAAAACACAAGGAGCCACTGCAGTTACTTCCTTAAAAAAAAAAAAAAACCAAAAACCTCTACTTCCCAATGCAAATTTGGATAGTTTTACAAAAATATCCTATAAACCTGCTTGGTTGGCTTCCTCTTTGCAGCCAGGGCTATTGGCAGGCTGCAGAGTGCTAAGAGCTCATGGCAGAGCCACAGGATGCCCTGAAACTGGTCCATATCCTACTCTGAGACCCTGAAAAGAGCCTAAATTTATTATTTCTTAGGTTTATTTATTTATTTTTCTCCATCACAATTCATAATATTATTGAGTTTTGCTTTTTTGGTTGGTTTGGGGTTTTTTTGCAACCAAAACACCAAAGCAAAATGCAGTTTTCAACCCTCCTGGTCCATTTATGTCTGAAAAATGCAAAGCTGGGGAGGTCTGGGCTGTACTCCAGGCAGAGGGGTCCTCTGGCTTTCCCTGGATTGTTCCCTGTGAGCCTCATCCCATATTTTACACATGTCCTGGAAGCTCATGATCCATGTAAAACAAGCAGTTTGAATTCATCCCAGCCGGTGAGGGATGCAGGAGCTGCTCCCTGGGGCAGGGCATGGAGTGTGAAATCCTCCTCCAGGGACCAACACTGGCCCTGAGACATCCACCTGCTCCTTCCCCAGGCTGGAATGGCAGCTTGCACAACAAGGAAGGAAGGATTTATGCACATCAAAGAAGCTTCAGGGGGATTCAGAGCCAAAATGAGGAATTGAAGGACAAACCCAAACCCTCGGAGCTAAGCGCTGTGTTGGATGGCAAACACCAAATAAATGTTATTAGACAACTTTACTGCTCCATTTAAGCAGGCCCAAACAGGACAGCTTAGTTTTTGATCAGACCTGAATTTCCCAAAGGCCACATTGTGGCGAGATTAAATTCCAAATGGAACACAACTGGAAAGGAGGATTTAGTATTTTTCCTTCAGGGATAGCTGCAAAGGAATACCAAACAAAACAGCAAAGTGCACAGCAAATAGCTACAACTCACCTGATAATGGTATTTCAATAGCTGCTGCCAAACTCAATACAAAGAAAAACAGGCATATGGTGATGCCTTTTGTGCTTAATAGCATCTCCATCACTCTTCTGTAAACAAGGAGTCCAAACAGAATGAGAGATACCTTATGCTTCCGCTCACTGTCACTTCAAATCAGGCACAGGGATGTGAGAGTGGGAGTCTGGTGAGGAGAACAAACAGCAATATTAGCCTGCAATATCAACCAGGGTCTGACACAGTTATAAAATTAAAGCAATGCTTCAGGTTGGCTGCTAAATTGCACTAAATGGTCCATTTTCCTCTTGCCCCATCCCCTGGCTTCAGGAACAACCTCTATTTAAATTCTAACAAAAAACACATGCACAAAAGTACAGCTATATTATAGCACAAAAGTATAATTTTTTTTTTTTTTTTTGCTGTTTGGCAATTTAAAGTAGGGATGGTTTAGAATGTGGTGTATTTGTAATCATTCCAGTTCATAAATTTTTCTAATGAGAGTTATGTAAGTTGGAAAGTAATGTAACAGATCTAATGAGAGAAATTTGGTACACTAATGACCTTGTTCATAAATCTCATCTGTCTTTTATCTTTCATTTATGCTCAAAGAAGGACACTATCTCATTTAGTTCATTACTAGGAGGTAGAACATGAAACCTTTGCTTTTCCCTCCCAGTCCCAGAACTACTCTCTGTGGGTTTTACACATTCCATTGGACATCCTTAGGTTCTGAATTACGAGGTAAAAATGTTGCGTAGCTGCAAAAAGGAGACAGGTCCAGCTCTAACAAGCATTAAAGTGAAATTCACAGAGAAGATAAGGAGAGAATTCTGATTCAGATGAAAAATCAGGAAGAAATCCTTCCCTGTGGGGGTGGGCAAGCCCTGGCACAGGGTGCCCAGAGCAGCTGTGGCTGCCCCTGGATCCCTGGCAGTGCCCAACGCCAGGTTGGACAGGGCTTGGAGCAGTCTGGGATGGTGGAAGATGTCCCTGCCATGGGACAAGATGATTTTTAAGGCTCCTTCCAACCCAAAGCACTCTGTGATTCTGCAAAAGTGGGTGCACGGAGGGTTCCAGTCACCAACTTCATCCACGGTCCCCGAGTGAATTATTAACCAGCACGAGCTGTGTTTACCTGCACACCCTCTCACAGTGCTAAGGGACATCACTCCCAGAAGAATTTAGACCTCAGTTGACAGGATAACTGTGTAAGAACAATTCTGAAGACAAGGCCACTGTGTAGCAGCCATGGACCCACCGGGCAGGCCAGGCCTGGCCAGCCCTGCTCCACGGGCACAGCTCACCAGGGCAACCCCCTGCCAAGCTGAGCTGCCTCACACACAGCTCCTGTATCTTTGCACATCCCAGCCCGTTAATCCAGGGATCAGAAAAGCAATCCCGGGATCACAGGAGCAGTTGGCATGTGGGGACAGCAGGAGGTGGCACTGTGGATGGCCGTGCTTGCCCAGCACAGCTGGAGCAGAGGCAGAGCTCAGCCGCACAGCCACATCCTCAGTCCACGGGGGTTTTCTCCTCATGGCTGCTTTTCCCTGCAAACAGAGATTCTTTTTTTTTCCCTCAGCACATTCCCTCTCACATCAACTCCAAGATGAGCACAGCTTGTGCTGTGGCTCTCCCTCCTGGACGAGTTCTGTTCACACCAGCCCACAGAAACTTCCTGGAAGTTCAGATCTGTGAGACCAAAATCCCCGGCTGAGGGTCACAATTGGCCAACGAGGGGCAAGCGACAGACACCATAATCACATAAGCCTCATTTGGTTAGAAATGAGGCTAAAAACCAGATGTCTTTTAAGTATCTTAGGCCTGGAGTATTTGCTGATGGAAGAAGCTGACTAATCTGCTTAGTACCCTGCTCTGCAGAAGGGCACTGGAGGGGACAGGGACAGGGGACAGGCTCAGCTGGCACCCCCAGGCTATCCTGGGTGTAAATCAGCCAGAATCAGGCAACACCAGCAGTTCTGTTTGTGGCAGATATTCCCTCAGTTTGAGTTGTCCTGGCTCTGACCTTTGAGCAGTGGAGCTTTCTAAAGCTCAGCCTGCCCAAACTTGGGCTGTGTGACAGCGCAGGGAACACACAGGACACGCAGCAGCCCCAGCCAGGAGCCACCTGATGGCTGCTGTCACTGCAGGATGGGGCTCTTCCCCTCCTCACCTGCTCCTGGCACACGCTCAGCCCTAGATCTGTGTCATGGCAGTAAAACAGATGCTCTGACAGAAAACCCTCTGGATGCAGAATTACAGTTTAGGCTCATAAAAACCCGAGCAGCCTCGCTGCCTGCAGATGGCACGTTGGTGGCAGCGAGAGCCTCCTCTCTCCCATCTGCTGACAGCTCTGGGGACAGGAGCAGGCAGGTCAGGATGGCAGCCAGAGGCAGGGGAGCTGGGATTACAGGAGGTGTGCAGCTTGCTAAGGTCACAGCAAGTTTCGTTTTAGATGAGTGTCACAAAGCATTGTATAAACTCAGATTAAATCCAAGAAAACAAAAAAAAAAAACAAAACAAAACAAGAGCACAGCTCAATTCCTTAACCAAACCAATTAGCTCACACCTTATTTTTTTTTCCTTATTTTTTTTAAATGAAGTGCCACAGCAGAGCAGCAACGTTCCAAGTAAGCAGGATATCCTTCATCATGTGGCACAGCCCGACTTGCCTCTGCAGGCTGCTGTAATTAGTCGGCCTGTCTAGCACCTCACTCCTGTTCCCTGGCTTGAATACTAATGCTGGGGGCTGACAGCAGCAGCATTTGGAAGCAGGCAGCACAGGAGGACCAGCAGGGATGGACTTGTGCACACCCAGCAGGTAACTCCACTTGGGAACATCCCTGCAGCTGCCTTGGAACTCAGCTGGTTTATTGGGAGGGAATTCCACCAGGTGCACTCCTGGGGTGATGGGAATCAAACAAGAGGCTCTTTGCAGAGATATTTACCTTGTGACAACCTCCCACCACGATAAGCCTCGTGCTCCTATGGCTGTTATCCCTGGAGGAGTAGCAGAGGCTGTGACAGTGATTCTGGAATGCCAACACCCCACACACACCTCCCCTGATGTGCCCCACTCCCTGCTCCCTGCTCTGAGCACTGCTGGTGCTCAGCAGGCAGCCAGGTGAGGCTCATCCTCCCTGCAGAGACCTGGGCCAAGCTCTTCACCTTTTTAAGGTGACATTTAGGCAGGGCTGCCAAGCTTTGGGTGTTTAGGATGTCTGTCACGCCTTTGGCTGTCCCAGCAAGCCTCAGGTGAAACTGCAAAGATCCTGATTAAATCCCCAACCTTCCCTCTCACCTCCAGTCCCAAAACACCCCGAGCCCCTTCCTTAATGAGCAATATCCCCCAAATATTGCAGTATCCATCCTGCCCATCCATCCTGCCTTCAGACACAGCCACACACCCAAACTCCAGGCAGCACAATCTCTCACTCCAACGATGATTAAACTCCAAACCCAAACTTCTCAACGTGTGCCAGCTCCCAGCAAATGAACAATTTCACTGCCTAAGTAATTTGGAGAAATGACTGAGGGAGCTGTGCAGGCACTTGGCAGCCATGGGTAGGTTTTGGTCTCACTGGTGCCAAAGAACAGCTCTGTCCTTGGGGCAGGACGGTGCCAGGGACCCAGCTGCAAAATCCTGACCTTGGGAAAAGCATCAGCCCTGCTCTCTGAGCTGGGTCAGGCCCTGAGTCCTGCTTTTCACAGAATTACAGGATGGTTTGGGGTGGAAGGGACCTTAAAAATGACTCAGTGCCACCCCTGCCATGGCAAGGACACCTCCCACTGTCCCAGGCTGCTCCCAGCCCCAGTGTCCAACCTGGCCTTGGACACTGCCAGGGATCCAGGGGCAGCCACAGCTGCTCTGGGCACCCTGTGCCAGGGCCTCGGCACCCTCACAGGGAAGGATTCCTTCCCAATATCCCATCCATCCCTGCCCTCTGGCATTGGGAAGCCATTCCTGTGTCCTGTCCCTCCATGTCCTTGTCCAAAATCCCTCTTCCTGCAGGTACTGGTAAAATTGATAAGGTCTCCCCCAAGCCTTCTCTTCTCCTTTTCCCCAGGAATTCCACATCCTCCTTTGCTCTCAGGTGGACTAACTGCAGCACCACTTGCACCAGGGATGGGGCACCAGATTACCCAGGAAAACCTTTCTTCTGCACCACAAATGAGCACGGATTGCTGCAACAAATGCTACATTTGCAACCCCTCCTCTGCCTTCTTCTTCCCCCTCCTCTTCTTTCTGACTTTCTATTTGCTTTTCTCTGCCTCAGGCTTAAGTCAAGTAATTTGAATTCACTGCAAATACTTATCTGTAGTTCCTTACCTGCAATTCATTATTTACTGTGCTGTTCAGTTAATAGTAAATACTGATTGCTCTAAGGACAGCTCATTTGTTTGTTTAATGAGCTGCCTTTAAGTTACACTGAGCAAATCTTTCAAACTATCAGTATTTCCAAGGAGCAATGGAGTTCCAGATTCTTTTATTACATCCCCTTGCTTCCAGAAGGATGCCATAAAAATATTGGACAACCAAACAAGAAAAAAAGATTAAATTTCCATTTATCTCATCAACCTAGTGAACAATTCTCCCTACATGTAATTACTGCATTAAAATTGCTCATAAATAGTAGCAGGATGACAGCCAAAATTCCCAGATTACTGCTCTACCGCTTCCAAGAGAAATTACAGTGTACTACGAAATATGGCATCAACCTCAGCTCTTTGGTTCCCTCTTCAAATATTCCTTGTTTAAGTCCTGTACACACAAATCTTGAGGAAATTAATGGATCCCCACAGCTTAACACTGGTGCATCCCCTGGCTAAGCTTTTCATTAGCTAGAACCAAGTTTAATTTCTCAGTGACATGGATGTTACAGGACTGGTAAATATTTGTGATTAGAAATTACAGCCTCCCGCGTGGCCTCAGTTATGGAACAACAGGAAAAAAATCTGGGGGGAAAAGATATTGCTTTCTGGTAGGAAGAAATAAAAGTTCGGTTGTTTAATGATTCCACATGGAATTTTTAATTGTTAGAGCAGGACTGGTAAATATTTGTGATTAGAAATTACAGCCTCCCGCGTGGCCTCAGTTATGGAACAACAGGAAAAAAATCTGGGGGGAAAAGATATTGCTTTCTGGTAGGAAGAAATAAAAATTTGGTTGTTTAATGATTCTAC